GAAATAGTGATGATAACACACACACTGACATTCATATTATGTATGCCATGAGAAGCCTATGGCCCAGGTGGCTACGGCGTGTAAAAGAGAACATCAGCTTAAAACGAACATTCTGAATTTGTCGAATTGCAACAGCATGCAATTGACAACTTCGAGCCTGTTGCTATATGCACCACATATGCACCGCATTGCAAGTATATCAGTATGTGGCCGCTGCCGCTCGATCAGCTTTTGAAGCCTACAACTGGTGGTGCGTACAAAACTGAGGGCCACCACGCACATGAGGCGCAAACTTCGATCACCATCTGTGCCAACATGCTACCCCTAACATTGCGTACGAATCATTGACGGATTGACGGTACGACATGGTTGCATACAGCATCCAACATGTGCGTCATTATGCTCAATGAATACTATGTGTCCGATCACGTAGTGCCTTTTGAAGAGGAACGCATCTCATTCGCCGCGAAGGACGTTGAGTTTACTTTTAGGCTTTTGCAGCCAGTCCACTAGCAAAGATTCTCAATGTTTTACCTAGGACGAAGTAATGGATCCGCTAGCCGGAAGCCATTACCACTGAATTGGCAGGTTCTCTATCGAACCTTTGATAGAGAGCACACATAGACGCTAAGTTAAAACGTCAAGGAGCACACAAGTCTCGACTGTAACAAGACACAGAAGGTTCCTCATCTTATGGGCGAAAACTCGTCAGGCAAGCTGCTGATACTTATGCATCCCAGCTCGCACTTCCTCCTGCAAGTCGGACACAAGAATTAAGTGGACAGCCGACACAAGCTGACACAATGGGCCTGAAGATAGCCACAAGACTAATCTGCTGATGCAGTCCAACCTCAAGTTCAAATACAATGGAGAACGACCACAGAACTTGCAATTCCCAGCCTTGTGCTCAGACAGATACCGTTGAGACTTGTAACCGAAAGGCTCACCGGCGAAAGCATCTCGTTGTTCCAAACAAGAACGGGCCCGGCCGTTGCTCCTGCTGTTTGCCCGTTGGGAAGACCAGGAGAGGGTGTTCCAGCACCGAGGCCAACTCCCACAGGAGACACTAGGCCTGCTACTGCCACCCCTGCACGGACAATGGCAAATCGTGATTCTTCGGGGTTTCAATAGTCACTAAACGCGTGGCCAGGCAAGTGTCGTCCGAACTGTGGTCGATGAAGCTGGAAGATTGCGTAGGTGCATAAGCATACGAACTCGGACGACTGTCTGTTACACTGAGGCTGTTCCATTGGTCATGACAACCTGGTTTGAATGCAGTACGCACCTGGAAAGAGCGGTGGTTTCTGTTGCGTCCCTTGGCTCAACCCCGGCGCAGTCATGCCTGCAGCGAGCCCTGTACTACCTGGGGCTGCACTGCCAATGGGGAAGAGTGGTTGCTGCTGCTGAATCGGAAACAGAGGCTGCTGTTGGGGGGGCCTCAACGGAGGGGCCATCTGCCTATACTGCTGAGCGTTCGGCTGCTGCATAGGGGCTCCGTAGGGCCCCATCGACCCATACTGGGGGACTTGGAAGTGGTAAGGTTGTGGGGGCTGGCCAGGCATTGGCATGGGGCTAGGGCGGCTGTTCCCAGGCTGGAAAGGCTGCATCCCTGGGTTGAACATTGGGCGGAAACCAGGATTGAAGCCAGCTTGTTGAGAATACTGAGGAGGGGGTCGAAACCTGCGGGAAGAAAGCACCGGTTCAGAGGCAGTTCTTAGATGAATCCAACAACCGGCGGTCTCTTTGAGAGGCACATGCAGGGTTGTCACCGTTCGGTTTGCTCGTTGGGAAGAACCCGGCCGGACGCAACTGGCGAGCATGAGGAAGGTGAATATTCGAAATAGGAACACAAGCTGCCCTCAGCTCATTGAAGTCATCTAAACTCCATTGAAGAGCCATATCTTTGATGTGTCAAAGGCTGAACAGCTTCACCTGTATGCCACACTTCCGGCACGGTCTTCGTATTACCCATATACTCGGGTGTCAATAGACAAACATCGTTTTTAAGAAAGTCCCGGTACAAATGAAACCTCTGAAGCTTAAAACCTGACAAAAAGTTGACAAGCGAAACAAAGAAGGGAAGGAGGGCTCACTTCCTGTCAGGAGAGGCTGATGTTCTAGAGCTGGGAGATGATCGACCATTTGACAAACAACAGTGTTGCAATAGCAGGCCATACCTGATTTTAAGACGTTCTGAGGAGCCCGCCGTGCAGCAAGCCTTTGTCAAAGGATGAGAGAAGGTTACTCACTGGGGGATGCCAGGTGCAAACATTGGCTGCGATCCAGGTGTGACCTGTGGCTGACCTGTTCCGGGTACTGGCAGTGATGGAATCTCCACTTTTGGCATCTTCGCTGGCTTTGAACCATCTGGTACTGCAATCATTGGGCATGGAACATGACATAGAAGCAGGAAAATATGGTTCATTACTTTCAAAGAAGAGGGGATGCTGGGGTTTGGCTGACCTGGCAAAGTCCCTTTCTGCCCCTCCCGCAAATTACCAGGGTCAAGAAACGGTGGCAAAGAAAACTGCTTGGAGACTCACTAGGTTTGCGGCCGTCCCATATGCTTCGAATATCCGACGCATCGCACTGCTTTTGGTGGTGATAAGACAACCTTGAATGAACAGCTTCCATGCAAGCTGCTGCCAGCTCACGCGATTCGAGCGAAGTTTGGGTGAGGATTCCATAGGTCTCCGTTAGAAGGGGAAGCTTCGCCACTCAGCACACGATAGCTGGATGCAAAAGGGAACAGCTCAAGAGCAACCGTTGAACACCAGGAAGTACTGAGGCGTTTAGGAAACAACGTCACCTTCGTCCCCTCTCAATTTTGCATTGATGGCGTCGTGCGGAACACCCTCCATGCCAAAAATCTCAAGATCCACCGAATCCCGTCCCGGCTTCGAGTTTGGTACCCTGTACACAGCAGCAACAGCAGATAAGCTACCATCTGCAAGCTTACCCGCACATGGCAAACAGATTGACCGCCTGAAATCTCATTATGGCAACCAACAGTCTCAGGACAAACTCAGTCTCTCCTTAAAAGAGTAGAGTGACCAGTATCGTGCCATTGTTCACCTCTTGGTCAACAATGGCATTTCCAAGGAGCTGTCTTACTTGGTTAAGGTTTCCTTGTGAACTTGCAGAACGTGCACCACCATCCCGCTTGCTGTGCTCAACTTCTTGTAGCAGACATGGCACTTGAAGTGCTTTGCCTTTTGATGCTGGATGAGGATGCTTTCATCCTCAAACTCTCTGTCACAATAGTAGCACCAAGGCTTAACTTCCTTCTTCTTCTTTGACCGACCCATTATTCCAAGCTGCTTGACGTCTACCCTACTATTAATATTGTCGACTGAAAGACAAGACCACACCAGGATACGGCTTGATGCTTGTTCAGAGATGTACAAATGCGACAGCTTACTGCTTAGGAGGCACAGAATCTGGAGTGGCGCAACTCCAGAACGAGTCGCTGGGCGCCACAGAGGCTGCCGCTGCTCGAATGCCTGCGGCACGGGCTGTGACTCTGAGTCCGAGGAGTCGCCGTGCAAGACTCAGTGCGGCAGGCTGCGCCTTTCGAACTAGAGTGAGCTGACGCACTCGCAGCACAATTCAACCACTCCGCATCCATCGACGGTTAGAGGTGATCGAGTAAACCTACGGTATGTAGGAACCTTGATCTTGCCATTGTCGTTCGATGAAGTCGATGTCGGGCGTCATCGAGCGGCTGGGCTCTCACGCGAAGCCACAACCAGCTGACAGGTGTCAGAAAGGGAGGCCACGACTGGATTGCTGGCGGTGCCAGCTCAGCATCTCGAGATCGGAATGGCTGCAGTCTGCGCCGCTGCGGCTTCTCTCTACAGCCTCAGGAACATGATGCTCCAACTTCTCAGCTGTCTTCACTCTGTCCACAGTGCCAGATACCGTAGGCAGCTCCTACCGTATTTAATAGATTGGGGTGAAAGGTTTTCCTGAACACTGAGGCGCAACGAAAGCTAGAAAGGTCAGACGCAGCCGGGATTCAAGGACTAAAATCAGAGGAATCAGAGGTGACGCCCAGCGAAAGGTGCGGCCAGTCTGCAACCTCATTTTCCTGAGAAGAGTACTGTGCACAATGGCTAGCAAAGTGCAGGTTGCTGAGATTCCGTCTGGTGGCTCGGAACCAAAGGGAAAGGCAGGTCCTCCTCCATCCAAGAGCGATTTCCCAGCTACTCCTGCTCAGTCCGCTGAGAAGGTGCAGCAAGACAAGCTGGGGGACACCGTGAAGCCTGAACAGCACGAAGGTGAGTGCTCAGCTACTGGGTGAATATGTGGACCCTCAAATGTGGTTGTCAAAGAGGACTGTTTGTGATTGAGGAATCTTCAAGAGGTTGCCATCGCCTATCACACACTGGCTTCAATCAGTCGTTTTCTAGGGAACCCCTCTTTCGCATGCACTCAGTAGAATTCTATTGACAAGGGTGCAACCTTGAGATATCCAGGGGTTGCGAAAATTCTGGGATGTCTCGAGCTAGCAAGTTGCCAAATATGACGGTTGCAAACATTATGGAATAAGAATGTTTTGACAATGTATTAAGAGCACGTAGATGGGTAAAGCAGGTGTCTCTATGGAGGGGACCTTGTCCCAATGAGATTTTGGGATGGTCAAATCTACAAAACAAGCACAGGTAGCATTAGGTGCTGATTATGCCAATGCAACACACTTGAAGGTTTTTGCACGCCAGCCGTCCTTGCCTATTGAGTCGTTGGTTTGCCATTTCATATATGCAATTTCTACGACTTATTCATGGCCATGTTGTGCTTTAAGATTTTTATCAACCATGAATGTACTTCCTTGTAACACAAGACTCTTTCCTTGGTGTTGCAGCATCAAAGCTCGGCGGAAAGCCAGGAGAATTGAGAGAACTGGGTGGAAAACCGGTCACATCAGAGGATGCTGCACACATTGCTGCAGCGGAGGCTGCTGCTGGAAAGTAAGAATTGATGATTCTTTCCTACAATTTTTCTAACAATAGGTTTAGGGTTTTAGGGTTTTGGGGAATGAGGATAAGCTAGAAAATCGTGGCAATCTATGCTGCTACTGATGGATGCTTTTGTTGATGAAGAAGGGCCATTTCTGATTGCACCTGGCGCATCTTGGGGATGGCTGACTTGGTCTTACACATGGCTGCGTACAAGCTCCCAAAAAGCATTCTGTTGGTGGACTTGATATTCAAATGCTATGGGCAATTGACAGTTGCGAACCTCTTCTTGCTGGCTTTGAAGTATCTTCGCTCGCTGCAAAACAGATCGATGCATTGTGCTTTTTGCTTCCGAAGCTGGTGAAGATGGTCACAAGAGACAGGAGAAAGTGATTTGCAACCTGACTGACCTTGCAGAATCAAAGGAGCTGTTGGAGGACTTGGTCCAGATTCCTTGCTTTGACGTCCTTCTTCTCAACAGGTCTACCGGAGCTGGCAGTCTAGCTGCAAGGGCCCAATCTGCAGCGGCTGCCAATGAGAGGGAGGGTGCTCAAGGGAGCCAGCAGACCTCCAAGCCTAGTGCAAACGGTGCTTCCAAGCGGGATGCCCCTGAGGCGCTCAGCGACAAGCCTGGGGAGAGGCAGGCAGACAAGAAGAGGGACGTGACAGAGCCGAAAGTGCACTACTACAAGGAGAAGGAGAGCAAGGAGGAGGACGAAGGCGGCATCTCCTATGCGTCAGCACTCAGGCGGCCAAAGGAGGAGGTTGAGGTTGAGAGGCGGGAGGAAGCAGAGAGGGAGAACGGCCTCCGGAAGTGGCTGGTCCCGGGAGCAGTGGCGGTCCTTGTGGTCGGGGTGGCGGTCGTAGTTGTCTCGGCCTTCTCAAAGAATAAGCAGCACAGCAGCAGGTAGGCCAATCACAAGCGCCTAGGAGAAGTGACTCCGTCACTGCCATGTAACATAAATCATCTACAGCAGTCTGTGTTCTTTTGCCGTTGGTTGGGACTGGCCCTCAGCAGGAGTGTTTTGCAGACTTAGGTATATACGTACAGCGGTTAGTCAAGTGATTAACGTTAATATTCTAACACAGACTGTGATTTTCTCAAAAACGCGTGAGATCCAGCTCAAACGATGCTTTCCAGGTACTTACTTCTCACATGCTGTTTCTTCAATCGTGTGTGCAGACGCTAGGCTAGGCTTAGTTATCGAAGTGGGATCACTTGTAGAAAGTCAGCGGTGAAAGGCGAGAGTCGAACGTGCATGTAGGCTCATGAAAGCTACTACTAGCGGCCAGGCCTAAATGGTCCTGGAGCGATTGATGTGACATGTTTTCGCAGTGTTTCGAAAAGACAGGGCACGCCATTAGCCGCTTGAAACTTCATCTTATCAGATGCCTGCAAATCAATGTGCTGCTCAGCTCTTCAACCTTCGTAACCGGGCAGACGGATCTGCGTTGCCAAACCAAGAAGGGAAACCATCTGACCCATATTTTGCGAATTGCATGCCATCATTCGATCATTAGAGGATTATACCATGATCTCAAAATCCCTGCACATCGCTGCATACTGGGGCATGGCGCACGCTATATGCCGCGACGGTGCAAAACAAACAATATCGGCATGTTAATTCCCAACTACCATGACGAATGCATCGGCATGGTTGTATGCAACAATTGCTGTCAACTTACTAACCGGGTTGGCATGCATTGATCGATTTTTAAGCATCACCCGCGCCAGCTCCGCCGGTGATTGAATGCAACATGGTTTTCGCCGAGTCCAATGCATTGAACTTGAAGGGCCTCAGTGCATGGGCCAGAACGCATAAACTGCATTGTTTCGCGCACATGGTCATTACATCCGCCGTACCTAGATATAGAGTTGGATCAAATGGTGGCCCATGTACTTTTGATTTGTATACCACCATGAGCCACAAGGCCTGAGCAATTTAGTAATGCTCTGGTTAGTAATTAGTTGCACACCGGGGGGAGTTATAGTACCGTCATGGTCGCAAAAATAAGGATTCGAAGGGGGCTTGAAGACACATGTCCAAGCTTGAGACGCTTGGACATACGTGGCCATGGATACGTCAGACCACACTTGTCAGTATACCATTGAATTCACTCAGTGATCAAATTCGATCCGTGTCAGTGATCGTTGAGGAGGCGGTCGTACTGCAATCAACGTTTTTACATATTGCGCATGTGTGACGATGTGTGCAAGCTTCATTGCTTTTGCACGAACTTTAGTACGTAGTAGTCTATAACAAGCGGCATCGAACTAGAGAGACACGCTTTTGCACGACCATTACGGGCGGCGTCCAATCAGACGGTTCCGACAGCCGCGCATGTCCCGCCCAGTCACTGTAAGCTTAGTCAAACTCAAAGCTGCGAGATGCACAAGCCTGCAAGTTGCCGCAGCGGCCGTCGGATGCGGTTTGCGGAGTAAAGGATTGGAGCAGCGACCTCCGACTCATTGTTAGAGTACTTTCGTGTTGCCTGCTGAATTTAGGAAGTAAGTTGGGGTCGGCACATATTTGGCGTGTCAATCCGGCAGCAGATCATGGCAGGTTCTGAGCGCCATTGACCACTTAATCTTGTGATATATCGACTCTTTTCTTGCGAGTGATAGACTCCCTTTGGTGAAGAGCGATGACAATCGCATAAGTGTTCTGTTACACAGCCAAAGATCTGGCACGAGCCATCGATTCCGCTGAGGGATCATCAGCAGACCCTGCACACGATCTGAAAAAGCTGACAACAGGATTCTTGACTGATTTCTTTCCTAAAAAGAGCACTTCCGCACCTGGCATCCATGGACTAAATCGAGGACCTTCGACATCGCAGAAACCCTACATGCTAGCGCTGCAGACCGCGAGCTTGTGCAACAGGAACTTGTCAGAAAGAGCACCGAATCCCAGCTCAAGAGATCGCCCCTCTGCAAAACCCTTTATGTTTGCACCTAACGCATTTGAACACGTTGTATCGAACCCCAAACCAGATATCACCTTGATTGCGCGCCTTTTTAAGGCACCAGAATCGCCGTCGCGCCCCCAAGGCGGCCTTCCCGCATGGCCGCCAGCGCCTCATTCGCCTGCTCCAGTGGGAACACCCTCGTCCTGGTGTGAACGGGCACCTTCGGCGCGAGTTCCAAGAACTCCCGCCCATCTTCCCTCGTTACGTTCGCCACGGACGCCACCGTCCGCTCGCCCCACAAAATCTCGTACGGGAAGCTCGGGATGTTCGACGTGTGAATGCCCCCCGCGATCACGGTCCCCCCCTTTTTGACGGCGCGCAGCGCGGCCGGGATGAGGGAGCCCACGGGGGCGAAGATAAGTGCGGCGTCGAGCTTTTCCGGGGGGGTGGAAAGCGAGCTGCCGGCCCAGTGCGCGCCCAGGTCGAGGGCGGTGCTCGGGTCGCCGGGCCGGGTAAAGGCGTACACCACGTGGCCGTCCTTGCGCAGGACCTGACGGGGGGACGTTTGAGTAGCTAGGAACGCGGGGTGGAAGATCGAGACCTGAGTGCCGTTTGAAGGTTCGCTCGGGAGACAATAATTCTTTTGTTCTGGCTCCCGGTTGAAGAATGAGGGTCGAGAAGAAGACAATGGCTCAGGATCACGTGAAGGCAATATTAATCGAGCATGCATCTCTCTAAGAATCAGTTGATTTCATGCTGTATTTGACGTGCAGAGACGCAACTTGGGGCGGATCGAACCATAATATGCCCTCTTAAACCTGTTGCGGCACCGTGTTAAAACCCGGTTATCACAGCTGGTCTGCCTTCAATTTCCTGAATTGAGAAGACCCTGGCGTCGCCCACTGATTCGAGAGACTAAAGAGAACAAACCCCCTCAAAGAGACGGAAGGTGACAAAGTACCTACCTGGGCCACAATATGGCCTGCCGCCCCAAAGCCGTAAATCCCGACCGTTTTGGTTCCTTGGTCGCCGCCAATAAGCCCCGCTTTCCGGAGACAGCGGTAACCGATCAGGCCGGGGCACATCAGCGGGGCGGCCGCCAGGTCACTGTACTCCTCGGGGATGCTGTAGCAGTAGCGGGCGTCCGCTACGGCGTACTCGGCATAGCCACCGTCAATCTGTCATTTGAATGTATCGAGTTTGGCTGTCTGCGCACGATCGATCAGCACGAGTCAGAGACACAAAGGGGAGGAGGGCTTCCTTTCGAGGGGAACAGATAATCATATGGTCTCTGAACTGTGTTGCGATAATCTTTCAATTAGTCTTTTGATTGGGTCCAAAATTTGACTCCAAAGCTCTGGGCAGCGCGACTGATTCCTGTCTGAAATTGAGTCGTTCGTTGGTTCTGTGTTGTACCAGTGAAATAATCGTATTCTTCGAAGGTAACCAAGTATTATGATAACTCGTCAGCCGACATAGCAATCAAGATTTCAAACTCGACTCTTCAGTAACTAGTAAGCTCGATGATCCACAAAGCGGTCACAAAGCTCACCTGATAGCCCGTGAACTTGGCATTGTCGCACAAGTTCTCCTTGCCCGCTCGACAGTACTCGCACAGACCACAGGTCCAGCCCAGCCAGGGCACACCCACCCGTGCACCGACTGAGAAGTTTTCGACACCAGGCCCAATGACATCAATATTGCCGACGATCTCGTGACCAGGAATGATGGGCAGCTTGGGGTCGGGCAGTTCTCCATCCACCTGCAAAGGCATACAATGAAAAACGAGGTGCTTTTCAATTGGGGCAATTCAACAGGGGGGCCGTCAAGAAGGGGGGGAAGTAAGACATAGGGCCCATCAGAAAGGGGGGCCAGTAAAAGGGCCGCCGTGAGACAAACAGGAGGGTGACGGGGGGGCAGCCAAAAAAGGTGGCAGTAAATGGGTGTTTCTTTTAGATAGGGGGGACAGTGAAAGGGAGAATACGGAAAACGAGGGCCATCAGGAATGGGGGAATAAAACAGGGTGGCTTTTAGGAAGGGGGGGCAGTAAGAAAGGGCAGTCAGACAGGGGGGGACATGAAATCAGCGGAGCGATGAGACAGGGGGCTGCTAGCAGAGAGTGGTTGGAGTGACCAGCTGACCCAGAAAGAACAAGCATCTATGTGACCATCGAGGGCTGCCCACCAAGACTATCCAGCAGCAGCTTTCATCGACAGATCATGTGTGACCCAGTCTACCGCACAGATTTAGTGCAAGGTGCTAGATCCTGTAATGCAGGCCTCGCAGTCCAAAACATTGGAAAGTGTGACATCTGAGGGGCGCCGCTCAGAGCTCACCAGGTGCAGGTCCGTTCTGCAGACTCCACACGCCGTCACTCTCACTCGCACTTGGCCAGGCCCGGGTTGAGGCGCCGGGACTTGCTGCATTTGTAGGGGGGTTTTGGGGGTTGGCAGCACCATCGCCCGCATGCATGCTCCTTGCGGCCGGTCGGAAGCTGCACCGAAATCTTCCATCTTCTTCACAACCGCTTGGTTGAGAGGGGAGGTAAACCTAGCTGGGCGCTCTCGAAAAGGTGCTGCAGAAGACCTTCCCTGGGACTAATCCAATCTCATCCTTCATGCCTTGCAAGTTGCATGACCTGGCGAGCAGCAGGCTGCAGACACCAGTGACCAGAGTCCAGACGGACGGTCCGACAGTCGAGACTAGAGCTGTTCTCAGCACCGTACGATCCTCATCGACGGTCATGGGGAAGTTCCTTCCCAACCCACGAAAATTGGAGAATCAAGCAAGTATATAAGCGCTCGGATGCTTCAAGCCCAGGCAGTCTCCGCGTGATTACGGTCTCAGTATATATACGCCTCGCCTTTTACTAGACGTATCACGGCCATAATCACACTACGCGGATTTTACCAATTTTTCAGAGCCTCGAAAGAGGCCATCACTCATCCAACCCCATACGTCTCACCACAACAAATCATTCACTCTTCTCTCAAACCTCATGCCCACAAATCCAACCCCATCCGACTCTTCATGCCCACAATCGAGCCACAATCCAACCCCATCCGACTCTCATATACGTACCCGAAGCATCCTCCATGCCTTCCCACAATCATGCTCACATACATTTTCTTCCACGTGCAACCTTCAACATTCCGTTCATGACAACTCAACTCCGACGGCAATATACGATCGATCAATCCGGATTCAATACCAGAAACGATCAAGTCCATCTCTTATTTTAGCTATAGTAAGACTCAGCGCCGCTGCCCACCGCATTGAAGGCGGCCATGGCACATTGCTCATATTCAAGTTCAATCTTACCGGCACTACCAAAAGTCTTCTTGTGCTGCGAATCTGGTCGCGTAGAATGGCGTGGACAAACATTGCAAGATGTGGCAGTGTATGCGCAGTAAGCTACCTCTGTTTTTACTGCTCTGCAAGTTGTTCGAAGGCAACCATCTTTCTTGCGACATGACCACAAAACCGCTTCCCTTCGATGACAGATTTGCAAGCATGTTTCGATGATCAATAGCATGGCCAGGTCAAAGATGCTGCCATCACTTTCAAGCCAACCTCGTTGACGAAATACGAATCAAAAACGTGCATAAATCTGATCACGAACAGATACCGAAGGCCACCGCCTGGTAATGACGTGGAGAGCAAGTGCCCATCTTATTAGTCAAGATAGTACAAGCTGCCCCAAGTCGGGGATTTGGGATAATGTCCGTGTGCTACTTTGTTGCATTGACGACTGCGGCGCGGGATGCCGGTTGAGGATGCCTCGACCAAAGTACTCCGCAATGACCGAGAAGCCGTCGTCCGAGTTCTGCATGTCAACGTCCACAAACTTCGAGGTGCATCGTTCGAAAAGAAGTCGACAAACAAAAGGACAACCAGCATGCATCGCTCTGCAAAGCTCACCTCAACAGCATCTTCTCATGGGGCTGCATTGTATGAAGTAAAGAGACAGGGCACGAGGAATATGCTCAGAGGATGAAGTAAGACATACCTGAACTAGCTGGAAGAACCGGTCGTGGTCGTTGCTATTCTGGTCCAAGCTCTTCTTCATCTGCGGCAAAGGAAGCAAAGAATGGAGAACCTTGAGCTACGCAATGGTTTTCGCTTCGGGAGAAATGCCCACAGAAGCCAAGCTACATGTTCTGCCAGGACCGGCAAGGACACTCGCCGTCCGTGCAAGTGCAACTGAACACAAGAAGAAACGACAGCCCTTTTAAACATTCCAAAGATTGTGCAGAGTGCAAGCGCAACCGATGCAGAATGACAGCTCACGGCTCGACCGCCAGCTCTGAAGCGACTATCATCCAGAATCGCATTCCAGTTCTCGAGCCCGGCTTCCGGCTCTTCGCCCAACCGGCCTTCACCGCTATCCTTTGACGGACATCGCTCCGACCAGTATCGAACGTATTCGCCGTTTTGAATTGGAGCATCATCCTTTCAAAGCAGCATCAGCGCTGAGTCCACATTCGATGTTGGCAGGTTCCAACAACGAACGGAATGGGCTCATATAATCGGACGTAATACTGGCTGCGGGCGACAGCAGAAGAAAGAACGGGTGCCTTTCTTACTAAACCAAGCCCAGAGCCGGACCGGAACCGCTTTGGTACGCACCTCAAGAACGGTGCGGTTCGCAGGCGCGCAGACGGGGCACTCCTTTTCGTTCTCTCCGAGGCAGCGCTGGTGGAAGGAGTGCATGCACAAAAAGTGGATGGCCGGCAGGTCGAGCGCCGACGTGCACGCGGTGCACTTGGTGTTCTGGAAGATGCGCGCGGCCGAGCGCAGCTCCGCCACCTCCGCGCGCATCGCGGCCGTCTCCTCCTGCGAAACAGAGACACGTGTCTCGTTGAGGATTTGAGAGTCTCTGGCCAGGCAGGAAGTCGGTTGCGATCATTTGATGAAGTGCCCGTAGTGGCCGTCTCCTCCTGCGAAATGGAGACACGTGTCTGACTAGAATTCGAGAGCCCTATGGCCAGGCCGGAAGTCGCTGCAGTCATCTGAGAGGTGTCCATAAAGGCCATTGCATCCCGCAAAGCGAAAGACGAACTCTAGGGCGCCTGCCTTTGTGACAACGTGGAGGACTGGTATGGCCAGCCCGGCAGTTGTTTCCATCACTTCTGACTTGCAAGTCGCGTGCGGGTCAAAGCCAGCGTGGTCACGTACACTGCGCTTCACGAGAAGGTTGCTTTTGGAGAGTATCTGCTTTCTTGAGGCTCGATGCTTGGCCTATTCAGTCCAGAATCCTCTTGCAAGACCGACGCATTGCAAGCTGCAAAAAGTTGCAGTACTCATTGGGGACGCGGAAAGTTTGAAATCCTGCAACGCGGATACAAAGTCAATACAGCCCTTGCCACTACCGAGATAACGTTCCAGCCCGTGACCCTCAACGCAAAGTTATGGCAGCCCTTTAAATCGACGCGCACAGACAGGCCCCACGGCCGCCCCCACCTTGTACTTCTCAATTGCCCGCCGGTCCTCCTCAATGGCGCGCGTATCCTGCGCGATTTGGCGCGCCACGTAGTCGCGCACTGTGGCCAGCTGGAGGTGCGGGTTCAGCGCCAGTTTCTGGAGCACGATAAGCGGGGGCAGCAGCCGGTCGCGCTCGACCACCTCCAGCACCTCGCGCACCTGAAGAAAGTGGGGTGACGATGAGTTGACGCGGCCGCTAAAGCGTAGGCGTGAAGCTTACCAAGGGACCAGGCCAGCGCTGGGTTTTGAACACAGAGTTCCACGTCGGCATGTTGCTTGAGAGCAACTGACGTGCCGAGGATTTGCCAACAAGAAAAATCCAACGAAAGGTAAGAAATCTGTCGACCAAGGTGATTGATAATCAACACGTCAGAACCGAAACGTTCGCCAACTTCAAATTACGGTAGCCACAACGGAGTGATAGAATCTTGACGAAGTGAAGTGAGGTCTTAGCGAGGGCCAGTCTTGTCAGCGCAGCCAGAAACGAATTTAACGAAGCTGTGAATGAGTAGCCGGGGGCATTTTCCTTGGCGGCCGAGAGACTTGCCCCTGTGTACATTGTTTCTGCCCCCAAGATCTGAAAGAGACGGGCAGAGCCTATCTTCTCTCAACAAAGGCTTTCACGTACCTCCTTCTCGCAGTCGGGCCCGCCCTTCTCCCCAAAGTACGTCAGTACGTCGGTCCACAGGTTGGGGTCGCCCCCCCGGCTGGCGGTCCCGAGCCGCCGACAGCACGCGATCAGGCCCGCGTGGTCACTGTCCGCCATGTACGACGCGATAACCTGAAACGTGGGAGAACACGTTAACTTCTAGCCCTGAACAAGGGAATCCGCGTGAAGTAGAGCAAGGTCTGCGGCTTCTCACTCAGGAAACTCAGAAAAAGCTTCTCTGAAACGGGGGGTTTTTCAATCAAGTTGAACTTCCAGAAGCTTTCGGTTGTTTGCAGTACAAGCAACCTGGAAGAAGTGGAACAGGAGTAAACGGAGGCGGACACAAAGCGAACACAAACGTGACGTCAGGCTGACCTCCTTGTAGAGCCGCATCTTCTCGTAGAGGAACAGCCGCCCTTCCCGAAACCCGTGCATCTGACACAGGACGACCGCAAGATCCGGGTCGTACTTTGGCTGCGGTTCGTGGGGGGGCCACCCGGCTTTCAGCAGCGCCAGCGCCTTTTTCAGCCGCTCTTTCCGCTCGCGTTCCGCTTCTTCCGTTTCGAGGGAGGACGGAACCGGAACGGGGCCGGAAAGGGCGGCCTTGGCGATGGCAGTCGCCTGGAGGTCGTCGGCTAGGTAGAGCTCGAGGAGGGTGTTGTTGATGGGGACCTCGGACGGAGAGCCCTGCACCCGAAAATCCTTGTTCGGAGACTTTAAGGCTTCAATAGTCCGCATGAGAACTCTGCGCTGCCGTCGACAATTTATAGTCTGACAAGGAAGCCATAGGCGTCGTGCTCGGACTCGCTTGAGAGAGTGTGAGTAACGCTTCCAAAGGTTGGATAATTCTTTACCGTTGGCTCAGAAAGAGTGGGCGCTGTAAAGAACTCGACGAGCGCTGATACAAGTAATTAACTTTAACAAGGAAACGAGCAGGAGAGCCGTGGGCCTCTCGAATAGAAGCAGACACGACAATCTACGTTACTCCGGACCGGAAAGCTAGAACAGCATCCAAGTTTCAACTGATGTACTTTTGACGCTGCAGACATAAGAATTCGCAGCCGGAAACTTCTGTTGCTCCCCTCACCTTGACCTGCTCGCTGTACTGTTCGAAGAAGCGCAGCAACCAGCGCGGACGGTCAACAAACACGTGTACAAAGTCCATTGGCGACGGCAGAATGGGCTCCATCTCTTCCTCCGCGCCCCGTATGATCCCCCGGGCACTCGGCTTCGACGTCGAAGCCTCAGAAGGAGCAGTCCCCCGGGTGCTTGACTTCGACGTCGAAGCCTCGGGAGAAGCCGTCGGGGGATCCCCCCGAGCTGTTGCTGAGGAGACTCCGTTGGGAGCGGGTGGTCGATTGGATGTGTCCCGAGCAGGGGCCAGGCCTTGGGTGCAGAGCTTAAGAAGGATGGCGGTGGTTTCTCCTGGGCGGTGCGTGACCAGGATCTTGCCGTACTGCTTCAGAGTGACCGCCGCCTAGTTGTAAGATAGGGACATCTGTGTCAGTAGTTCGGGTAGGACATCAGATCCATCTCTGTCAACCCTAAAGTCAGGGTTGGTTGTCAAGAGCTGATTTCCAAATGGATTTCCGCTTCACGAAGTAGTCTGGTAGAAAGGGAGAGAAGGCAGCTCAGAGAAGATACTAGGTCGAAAGATTGCGATTGAAGGTTGCCCACAAGTTTTAAGGTCAGCCACTCTTTGTCTGAGGGAACGTCCTCGAATCAAGTATCAGGGAATGACGACTGCGCCAACGGAAGAAAACTGCCGGTATTTCAAGCAACCATCCCTTGAGACAAGCCAAAAGTGAATCTACGAAGCTCCTCATCCACAGCTTTCAAGCGTCGTTATCGTTTCTCACCACAACCGAAAAAACAATTCTAGACCAACCCTCGTGACACCATCGACTCAAACGTCAGCCCACCTGATCTCTCACTACTAACAAATCCGGTCAGTTCACAAGATCGCCCGTATGTACTCTTAACCCACCTCAAACGTAGCAAGCGCCCCAACGTACTTCAGCGCCTCCTCGTATCGCCCCAGATCCTCCAGCAGAATCTTGAGGTACCATTCGTGCTCCCCAGCTCGCTTGGCAACCCACAGCGCGTGCTCGTAGTAGCCTGCCGCGCGGCACACCCGCACGGCGGTTTCGACGTCGAAACGGTGGTCGCCCTCCGCCTTAATGAACTCGTCCAGCTTCGCCACGTCCTGGGGGCGACCAAGTACGAAATTCAGCCGCGATTAAAATGAGATTAACAGAGGTTAAGAGGGGTTACCAGGAGCGCCAGTAAAAGAGCCACGCAACTCCCAGAGGTGGCGCCTGGGGGCGTTATGTATCAATTATGCGGGACTTCGTAAAAGCCGCAACGGACAAGCACTGAAAGAGATTTTGCGGAAGGGGGCGTCTGAAACGCAGGGCTGCCATCGGATGGAGCTTAAAGACCAGAGCACAAGTTTGTTTGTCCGCAAGCACAACTCGCATAAAAGTGCCATTATCCACAGCGGTTCGTTTCAACCGAACTCATGGCCCGGGTCAGCATCAATCGAGCCCCGCTCTTTCGTAGCTAAACGCATCAGTCGTTCCGACGTGTCGAGGCGGGACAGTGATACCACCTACTTCCCCCGCACTTCTTTCGAACGTCCGAAACGAGATTAAAACCCAGAGCAACACCCGGACGTCCGGGCCGCACTCTTTTCGAACGTCCGAAACGAGATCAAAAACCAGAGCAACACCCGGACGTCCGGCCGTCCGCACCTTGAGCTTGGTGTAGCAGTTGAGGAGCAGCGTGGTGTGGTCCGCGGTGGCCCGCCCCTGCTCGTGCAGCTTCTCCAAATAGTGCGTCAGGTTGTGGATGCGCTGCGCGTCCAGGAACTTTTGGATCACGTACGACGGCTCCAGCTGCCCGATCGTGCGGATGTACTGCGCCATCGCCTCGTCGTAGTCCTGCGGGAAAAGGAAGGGTTAGCGAGTGAGGGTTTGTTTTCTTCGCCTTATGTTTTCCCCCTCCAGGAGTATTGCGGCAGTAAGCGGCGGGAATGGCAGCGTTTCTGCGGGCTGTCAATCGACACGAAAGGGAGTCGAGGGAAGCCCACGTATGGGCTTCGACCGGTAAAATCGAGAAGATTCTTTCGTGATGACAAAAGACACGACGAAGGAAACATTGAAACGGCGGTTCGACCTCGAGCTTTTGCCAAAGAAGGGCTCGACACGGCTTTCCGCTCAAAAGCGGGCAAGCTGTTTTGTCCTCATCCATCGGACAATTTCTCCAGATTTTGTCGCAACCAGGTGAGGAACTTTCGATGAACAAGGACCCACAACAACATTCGAGCAAGCTTTCTGACCTGCTTCCCGTACAGGTGGTCCCCGTACTTGCGCATGACGTCAGCGGTGCTGGCGGCGTCGGCCTGCTGGCCCTGGATGAGGTTGATGGCGATGGTGTACAAATTTTTGCGGAACAGCATCTCCAGCTTGCTGCCCATGTCCTTCTCCGCCAAACACAGCGCCTGCGCAGCCGGGGGGAAGGAATCAGCAGTAAAACATATCCCCGCCGGGTGTATCTCTGTTTTGGATAGTGTCTAGGAAAGAAACCTTTGCACGACAGAGAGGAAGAGAGTCCAACGGGTTATGCTTAACGGCTCGGATTGTGACACGTTCTAGGAAACGAAAACCCCCCCGCGCGCGAAGTCGAAGGGAAAATACTTCTCCCTCCGAGGCTTATGAACAGCCTCGGAGTTTCTGTATCTACAAGAAAGCCGAGGCCTCCATGTTGGACCATTCGTGCCGAAAAGCTCACCTTGTGATCGTCTGTCAGGATCGTGATCATCCCCCCCCCCGACAGCACGTGCTGCACCCCCCCCACTGTCGCATTGTACGCTATCAGCTTGTTTTTCAGATCATACACCGTGACCACATTTTTCAGGGGGTTGCGCGGCTCTGCCGTCACGCACAGCAGGTACCCCCTGAACCAGGACAGGAAGCGCTTCTCCCCCTCGAACGCCCAGCAGGGCCCCCGCCCGTCCGCCTCGTAAAAGTAGACGGCTTCCGGACGTCCGAGAACGGGCTCGTTGGCGTCGGACATGGTGAGGCAGTGGGGCTGGCAACCGTGGGCGTCTAGTTGGCGCCTGCAGGGAGACATGGAATGCATCAAATGAGAGCGGTTCAGAGGACTGGTCCCCTCTGGCGACGAGTTGCCCCAAACCACTCTCAAACAGTCGCCAAAATCCAACATGGGTTGGGAAACGCAGAGCTCCAGAGTAAATGTCTGTCGTATGTTTGTTGCTGCAAAGGCACGTGAGGTAGACGCCCTCCAAAAAAGAGGGCGTGGATTCTGAGGGCCTCCTCAATTGGGCGACGGTCTTTGACCTGAAGAATTTAGAAAGGTGTGCGCGTCCTACCCGCGTTCCTGACAAGAGGGCAACACGTCGCGCCGAATGGCTCAGACTTCCTGACAACATTTGCCCCTTTTTGATTTGCTATTAAGAAGGGAAACGCCCACAGTGTTACTGATGTTTATGAAGATTCCAACCTGCGGCCTCAGTCTACGCCTCATTTAATACGCTGGCTTGATCCCGATGGAGCACGGACTGTACATAGATATCCGCAGCTAAATCATATTGATCAAATGCTTTCTGAAAAGCGAACCACAGGATGCGCAAGCGTCACCCAAACTGGTAATACGAGATACACTTCATCAATGGTAGATCAGGTTCCCACCTCTGCGGCGCACTCTGCGCCAGGTTGAATGACACAAACACGTCCAGGGTGGCCGCAAACAGGTACAACGTACCCCCCTGAGACGCGGCCGTAAGGCCGGTCACTCGAGAGGGGGGCCAGTCATCCTCCCCTGGGTCCACAACCAGGCGTGTCCGGACGATGCGGTCCCGTCCAAAGTCACCGTGAAGCAGGTACACCTGTCCGTTGTTCAGGCCAATGATGGCCCACAGGCTGGGGGGGGCTTCCTCCAGAACAAGGAAGGATGCGATCTGCAGGGGGAGTGCTTCGAATCTCATGGGTTGTCAACAACTGGCGGGCTGAAGTCTCTTCGGAAGCGCCTGATAAGCAGGTCATGAATCATTTTTAAAGCCTCTGGAGCCGTTGAATAGAGCAATTGCTCAGCACTGTTCCGGAGCCAACTGGTGGGTTCTTCACGAGCACCTGGATGCCACCACTCATCGCATCAAAAGGAGCCTATGGGATTCCAGATCCAAGAAAGCTTCAATTGATGGGCAGACTGGCTGGCCTGTAACAATTGTGTCCTCACCTCCGCCTCTGGAAACTTGGACGTAAACACTTTGATTGTCTTCAGACACGGCGGCCCCCCTCCTGCTCCCCCCCCCTCCCCCGCCAGCTTGTCCATGTCCCAAAGCTTCACGACACTGACCCCCACTTTTCCTGCGGGGGGGGGCTCGTCCTCCCCCACAGTCACCAGCATATTCCGCTGCTTCAGCTGTTGCATCTGTGAAACGGTGTGACCATGAGCAGGAAAATTAGCCACCACTTTCAGGGACCGGTCCGTCACGACCACCGTCCCATCGGCCCCCCCAAAGAAGAGGTAGCTCCGATCGCAGCTGCTGCAGCGGAGGGGCTTTTGCAGTTCGGCTGGGAGGTCGCCCTGAGGGGTGCCGTCGTTGAAGAACTGGAACTTGCGCCATTGGTAGTGCGCCATCTGAGCTGGCACAGACTTTGTCAGTGCAAGCTTTGCTTTAAAATCTGGAATGCATTGCAGAAAGGCCGCTGGCGTGTAACCCACTCCTGCCTGAGGACGCACGCGCCTCCGCCTGTGACTACAGCCAATTTGTCAAGAAGCATGAATCGCTTGTTGACTAGGTATGTTCCTCCTCTTCTGGCTGCCAGTTCTTAGATGATCCAGCTAGTGCAGCAGCATCAGGGCGGCCAACGCTCTTTGTGGCTCTTTGTGCGAGCCCCATTGATTCAATGAACTGCAGGCTGCATGAAGACGGCTAGACTTAGAAAATCCGAAAATGCAAGGGCCATCTGACTTCACCGGGCACTTTGTAACGGGAGGCGCGGGAAACGGGAGACAGAACCGTCGATACTTGCGCCGTCAAATGACACGAATCTCCCCCCTCAAGGTTCTTAAACCGGCACCCGTCGGTATACCTTCATCCTCCCGGTTGATGTACACTAGAAAGGTTTCTCACTGTAAAATCCGGGCCTGTCAACAGAGAGTACCTGGTCCTAACGAAGCTATGGACCACTGCAGCATGCATGCTGGCGCAAGCAAAGAAGAAGCGACCTTTCAAGAGATATTGAAGGACATTCCGAGCTGGCAGCTGCTCAAGCGTCAACATGAAACATGGCCCAAAAATCCTGAACTCCGCTCGCATCTTTGTTGGCGATCTGGAGTTATTCATGGTCAACAACTTGAGCGCGCTAGCTGTGTTTCGAAAGCTGTAGCAGGAGAGGCGAGAACTTTTCAAACCTAAAAGGGACACTGTATTTCACAAGATTGTGCATGGGCTTGAATGCAACAGGAGTGAAGCAGTGAAATCTCCCTTTTAGTACGCCTGGGCTGAAAAGCTGAGAAGGTTGGAGAAGGTTTTCAAGGTATGGAAGGAGTCAGTCAACCGATTCTGCATGAGAAGCAGAAGCTGCAGTTGTGCCTGAAGCACACACTGAACAACCTCTTGCAGGTAAGCTGTCTGAGCAGGTAGTCAACGCATCGCTGGCTTTGCTCCCCCCTAAAGAAGATGCTCTGTTATCAAAGGGTTAGACAAAGGTGATATGGGTGAATAGACGTAGCTGAGAGCCCTTCGACTTTTTGTACTCCAGCTCGTTTGGCCCTTTCACTGGCTGACTGTTATAGTCTCAAGCACTTCTGTTCGCCCAACTAAAGTTGAGATGACCAGTCAGAAAGTATCCCCAGAATCAAAGTGCCGATTGGGGGCTCCTGCAAAGCTTGTAAACTTGAACCATGCTTAGCACTTGAAGCAAAAAGGCTGTATGGTTCCCGCAGGGGGAGCACACCTTCACGCAGCAGGAGCTTAACAATCTCGCGGACTCCTTGGATGATCCCCTCGCTAAGCAAAGCGGGCCAAAGGCATCAGCCTGGTGGCCCTTCCACGCACATCACAATTCATTCATGGGAAACTATGATGTCAACGTGCTTATGGCTGCTCTGGCAGCTGTAGGAAAGGAAGTGACTTGGCTAGACAAGCGGAAGGGTGTGGAAGGTTTCAATTTCGAGACGGGGGAGCTAGACAAACCTGCAGTCATAGAAGAGTCCGATAGTGGTAGGAAAGACCTTGTGGGGTTCATCTTGAATGTGAAAAGGAAGTGGGCGGGCCTGATACCCGGCAGACACTGGATTGCCCTGAGGAAGATTGAGGGCCGTTGGTACAACCTGGACAGTGATCTGAGAAGACCATCTGAAATTGATGGAGGAGAAGAAGGGCTGCGACTGTTCCTGCAGGAATGTTTGTCCAAACAAGGATCAGAACTGCTTATAGTGTCGGAAACAAGGCATGATGGAATTCGAAGTTAAGTGTACGTTCTAAAATTAGCCTGTGATCTCGCCCGGCATGTACTTGCAGTGTGGTCAGCGTGGCGGGCTCGCGCACAGCTAACGAAGGCGAGTCACTGGGAGTAATGGTAGGATATACGACCATGTGGCATTTCATTAATTGTTGCGTTTGATAAGATCATTGTCTATGAAGGAGTACCGCATGCCCCTACTTCATATGCTTAAGCAGCTCGGGCCGACATGGAACATTCTGCAACTATAGCTTCTCATATATCCGACATAAAACGTTCGAAAATTCGTTCTTGCCTGGGCCCCCAGATCATTGAGTGATTAAGCATTGGCGATAGCATGCTGGCCCGGGCCGCCAACAATGCAGAATGTCTGTTTAAGCGGCGGCATATGTAAGCGTGCTTGATGAGACTGCCTATCCAGAGCTCGTACATTGAAGATGTCAAAGCTACTCTAACGTCATCAATCGCATCCATCAGAAACATATTTGAGACCGTCAATACCTGCTCAATACCGCGGTTTAGAGCGTGCTTTTGGAATCTCAGAGCAGTATGTTTAAAATTCTTTGCAGTAATCTTTCAGGGCCAGCTCGTCCTTACGGCACACTATTGGTTTCTGATAGTCTACAGATTGCCGACCTCCGAAAATACATACATGTCGGTCAATCTTGAACGCCATCCCGCGGTCTGCACGTGGAAAAGAAGCGTTGGTTATGACAATGGTCTGGCCAGTTGTCCTCCAGTAAGTCCCAGGAGGATCGAGGATCCAACTCCCCTACTGTAAAGCGAAACGAGCTCGTGCTTCACCAAGACTGGAAGGAAAGGAAAGCAATGCAGGCTTTTGTCGTCGATTGGAGCGCACGTGATCCGGAGAACCATGACAAAAGGTTCCGACTGACGCTTGAACACAGGCTGGTAAAGTGCTTTTATGGCCGAACTTAGGCACGTAAATCCGGTAAGATTCAGAGTAGCCAATGGCATCAACGCTTCTTATCAGAGCTACCTTCAGGTACATCGGGGCACTAATCCGCACACTTCCGAACTACGAGACCAATGTCATTTACCAAAGGAGGTCGAAGACGTCCTAGGTACACCGCACCGCGCCTTGTTTTCTTCTGATGAAACAAAGCGCCGCGAAATTACTGGGAAGAAAGACGGGGCCTTACAATGAATGGCAGCCCAGCTGGTTCTAATGGTCAGCCGCTGCCCCCCCTCCATTTCTCGCCCGCACCGAAGCCCCTCACAGCGTGCAGCATCAGCTTTTTCCCGGCAGAAGCTTTCTGCCAATCCGCCCTCCAGCTCGCCGGCCCGGGGGGGCGGCTCTCCGCTTTAGTGGGCCCCCCCTTTTCGGCGACGGATCCCCCTACTGACGCACCTGCTGCCCCGACCCCCAGGTCGGACCCGCTGTGTAACGACCCCCCCTCTCCGGAAAAGGCCTCTCCTATCACTCGCCGTATTTCTTCCGGAGGCGGGCCGTGCAGAACGATTAGCCCCGGGGGGGCTACCCGACCAGATGTTTCGGCAGTCGCCCGGCCGTGGGGCTCCACGGAGCTGACACGTGGCATGGGGAGCGCGAGAACGGCCCACGTGTGCGCTTTGCCCTCGTGCCGCGGGCGCCGAGGACCTCCTAGAGATGGAGAGACAAGTTTTTGGCGACTGCCCACGTCAATACCTCCAGGATCTGCGTGCTGTCATCGCGGCATGTTTCAGGATTGGCAAAACGCTGGACAGCAGCCTTGCGGGAAGCCCATTGTAAAGCAAGAGTCCAGTGTGCTGGCAAGAGTGCGGGGAGTAAGAAGGGAACTGACACTTACAAAGCCTGTTCGTAGCGGCAAAAGGCCTGAGCCAATGCGTGTTGTTCGTCTGTTGGTTCCGAAAATTGTTCTCCTTGACAGTTGCAATCTGTCGAAAGCTGCCTGTCTTTACTTCAGAGGCAACTCGACAGGATGTTTGACAAAGGAATGCTGGGTATTGAAAAGTGGTCTGACGTTGGGTACGAGAACTTATATTTTTTCTCGTCCCCGTCCCTTTTCTGAAGGCATCTTCTAGTTTACAATCCACCTCACCTTGCTTCAATTCCGGCAAGAGAGCCGCTCCGTTTCCCGTTTCCTCGATCCGCTGGTCCTCCCTACTTCCGTCGTCCGCTTCCTCCGATCCCTCCTTCGTTCGCCCCAGCCCCTTTTCGTTTCCGTCCTCCAGCGTTCCGTCGTTTGCTTCTTCCGCTCCCTGTTTCTTCCGCCCCAACCTACTGCCAAGTTTTTTCCCCAGCTTTCCGTCCCCTGCCTCTTCCGCTCCCTGTGCCGTTCGCCCCACCCCGTTTCCGCTTCCGTTCCCCAGCGTTCCGTCCTTCGCTTCTTCCGCTCCCTCTTTCTCCCGCCCCACCGCGGTTCCGCTTCCCTTTTCCGGCGATCCGACCACTTTTGCCCGTCTCTTGGCCAGCTGCTGCTGCATCCAATCCGAATGAAGCTCACACAACTCCTCCCCTTCTTCCGCTTCGTTCCCGCACGGCACAAGCTCACCCTTTACGATCCTTTCCCGTTGACAACGCCTAAACAACGCTGCCCCCTCCTTTGTTTCTCCAGCAGGGGGGTCCACAGGCTCGGCTGGCGTCCCCCCAACAGGGGGACTTGCGCTCGCACCCCCACCGGCCTTCCTACCGCCTGTCTCCGTAACACCGCTTTCGCTCACTTCCAAAATGTCCGATCTCATCCTTCCCTGCCGTTCAGCAGCGGTGACGCTATTCGCACCTTCCCTGCCCAAGACTTTCCTCTGGCCGGCTTTCCTTTTCAGCGGACCCTTTGCCGCCTGCCCCGCCGATTTCCTCGCCGCGTACCAGCGCTTCCAGTATAGCCTCTGTATCTCGGCGTGCTTCGCGCATTTCGGCTTCCCCTCCAGGGCTGGTGATTTGCAGTTCGTGCACTTTCGCTCCCCGGTCACCAGCACCACTTTCCCTCGCTTCGGTGTCCCCGCGGCTTTCTTCCCAACACCCTTGCTTGCTGCCTTTTCCTGCGTCCCGCCCTGGCCCCCGTCTCTCGCCCCTCTCTGCCTAGCGCGCCACAACGCGGATTGCCGGTTGTTCGCGTCATTACAATCTCTGCACCGCACCCTGCCTCTTAGAGCCGGCTTGCGACAATCAACGCACCCCCCTGCACCGCCACCGCTCGATCTGCCCCCCCGGGACACCCGAACGATCTCCCCCTTTTCTCTCTTGCGCCCCTTGCTGCCAGCCGCATTGGCGGATGACGTCACACCCCCGACCCGTTCCTCTCTGGCGAGCTGCGCCTTCGCTTGCCACCGCCGCTTGTACTCCTCGTACTGGTCGGCATGGTGGCGGCACCGCCTCTCGCCGGCAACTGCCGCCTCCCGACACTGCCAGGTCCGCTTTCCGTCCCTTACAACGCACCTTCTTTCCACGTCCGCACCGGCCACCCTTTTACCGCTGACGTCACCCCTTCCTGGCGGTGACGTCAGCAGCGGCGAACCCTTCCCGCCGGCCGCTCCTTTCCTCGCCCGCTTGGCCCTCTGCCCCGCGTACTTGGCCCGCACCGCGTCTGCCGCCTTCCGTTTCCCGCTCTCGAGCGCCACCGACATCCCGCCGAGCTTCTTTACTTCGCGCAACGTCTTCGCTGCCACCCGCTTCTCATCGTCGTTCACCTTTCTTCTCTTTTCCGACCGGTTTGGCTCCCCAGACGCTCGTCTCTTCACCCCCACCGTCGGCGCCGGTCTCGTCGGCTCTTCACCCATAGTCAGCCTCTTCGCGCCGGGGAGGCAGGCATAGTGTTCCCGACACAGCTTCGACCCCTCCAACCTGGGCCGAATGCACGTCCTCTTGCCATGCGCGTAATGCCTACACGTCGGCCTCTCCTCACCCCCTGTTTCCGCCCCTGCCGCTGCCCCCCCCTTTGCGGATTGCCGCCGTTCTTCACGATCCTCGTCTTGTTCCTCCATCTGCAGGCGCATCCTCCTTTCCTTGTTCCTTTGGGTCCTCGTAACCCAGGCCTTATGGTACGCGCACAGAGCCGATCCGGGTGTAACGTCCCTCTCACATTTCTCGCATTTCCTCAATCGCTTGTCCCTTTCAGACCTCGTTACCCCGCCCTTATGCCACTTGCACAGAGTCGACCCGGGCCTAGCGTCCCTCTCACACTTTTCGCACTTCCCTTTGGAGGTGCTCTCCCTTTTCCTCTTATACCCAACCACAGCATCCGTTTCCTTCCGCGCTTTCACCCCCTCTACCTCCCTCGCTCCTGATCTGGTTTTCACAGCGCCCTTCGCTTCTTCTTTTAGCGACCTCGTTGTCAGTTTCTCCGTTTCAGCCTCCTTGCAAAGCTCCGCCCGCTGGCCGTGTGATTCACAGAAGTTGCGCCTGTCTCCCACCACAATGTAACACTTCTCTTCCGCACTTGAGGGATCCCCCGGAAGCGAAACCCCACCCGCCTTTGCCCCCCTTTCGTCAGCTTCTTGCGCAATCTGCCGCCTTCTCGTCCAGGAATTGTGCTTCGCACACAGCCGCAACCCAGGCTCTACTTCGTCCTCACAGCGCTTGCACTTCGCCAAGGGGGGTTCCGACTCCTCTGCTCCCAGACCAGACTCGTCCCCCTCGCTAGAGTCCTCCTTTTCAGGGGGTAAAGGCCGCCGTTTCGAGGGCCTCCGACTGGCCCAGCCGCTGTGCTCGTCGCACACCTTCCTCCCCCCTGGAATGGAAACCCCACACCGCTTGCAGGCAGACCGCCCCACGACACCACTCTCTTCCTCGGCGCTTTGCCCCTCATCTTCAACGATTCCAGACGACTTTGTGCCTGAGACCCCCGCTCGCTGGAGATCAGCGCTGGTGAGCACTTCTCGAGTCCCCCTCTCGCCGCTGTCACTCCGCTCATCGGAAGCTCCCTCTTCATCGCTGTCATATGCCTGCAGCAGGCCTAAAGCGCCGGCAAGCTTATCAGGGGGCGAGGGGCTTGTGAGGGGGTTTCCCGGCTGGGAAGGACGTTGTGATGGGGTGCTGTCTGCGAGGAACTCAGAGGACCGTTCCAGGGGGGTGGCTGGCTTGCGGTCCCGAGCGGTGGGCAGGAGAGAGCGATCGTCAGTCATGCGAGACTTCCCTAGGACGAAGCTGGTCAGCGGCCTGCAGAAAATGTCAAAACTGCTGGGAGTAGTCCAGAAAGGCAATTCCCAAGTATCCTGGTAATCTTGCCGCAAGTTTGGTGTCTGAATTTAGTCAAGATAGGTCTATGGATTTAGTGCAGGCTTTTCTTTTTGTCTGGTGAGAGGTACGGAACTACTAGGTCACAACTTCAAACTTGACGATGCCTGATACTGGAGGAACTAGCAAGGTACAGGCCACTATGGTCACTCAGTCCATCAATGAAGCAGCTCTTGAATCCATCCTAGTCTGTGCACTAAGAAAAGTATTATCAGGAGGCAGATCTGATCGTCTGGACCTGGAAGGCACCGCTTTGAAGCACAATTGAGCAGTTGTGGTAATTGCAGGCTCGCTCTATCATGCAAATCAGGAACTCACATGTTTTCCCGGGACCCACAGCCACGAAGCAACTTGAGCTGGGCGTTGCTCCACTCCCCTCCCGGGACAGCAGACTTGAGATCCACAACATTGCCCAACTGGTTATCTATCCCGTCAAACGGGAACGCCTTGTGGGGCCCCCAATCGTGCTGCTGCCCGGTTGGGATTTTGAAGGTAGTTGATGCACCCTGCAGAGGAATACAACATCTTGTCAGACTGTGTTTGCGAGGAAAAATCGATAAAGATCTGCTCAGCCAGAACAAGACCTCGATGGGGAATGGTGAAAGGCAGCGACTGCTTACAAGTGACAATCAAAACGGTACCCAACTGCACTTTGGAGCAGAGCAAACGAAAGCGATCAGTCTCTGAGGACTCGTACGGTGAAGGTCGTCAATAAATCAGGACCAACCGGAGTGATGCCAAGTAAGCTTTTGCCTTCATCAACGGAAGTGAGAGTCCCACGGACGCGCAAGATCGCAAACATCAGTACAGCAACACAGCGAGGAAGGACTCAAAAGACCTGCTCCAATGTAAACCAGCCAAAAGAGTCCCTGAATCATTGACGGGGGGAAAGACTGCATACCTGGTCCAGCTCAGGCTCTGCTCTTCCAGCTTCTTCCCCACTGTCTGGAGGCGCGTTCAGTTTCAAATCCAGCGTCGCAAAACAGCGCAGAAGACCCCGTTCCTCCGTTCCTGCACTCCCCCTCTCTCCTTTGCGTTTGTGAGCACTGCCAGGAGAGCTCATTGCCACCCCCCCACCAGACAGCACCTCCTTGCACTCGGCGCCAGCAACGCCACTCCCCGATTTGCAACGCGCTTCTTCCAAGTTTTCCCCAGGGCTCTCTTTATCATGTTGATTGCGGAATGCAGCCACGGCCATGCCACAGTCCCCCCCATTTTCCACATCCCCATCTCTGTGATGGCACCCACTCACACTGCTGGCGCGTCCGTCGCTTTGCACCGCAACAACATTCTGCGGCGCCCCCCTCCGGAGCTCTGAGCCAGTCACAAAAACGCTCCGCAGTGTGTAGCGGTTCAAGAACAGCACGAATTGGTCGCTGCTCGACAGCGCTTCTTCCACCAGTTTGCGAGCTTTCGCATCATCCCCTGGAAGAGGACACTTTCCAGTGCGTCGAATGTGATCGCACAGTTCTGCGAGGGACATTCCCTGCTTACCAGCGTACGCAAGCAGGTCATGACAAGTAGAAATGAGGCGCTCATTTGGGGGTGCGATGGCAGCCAAGCGCGCCGCATCTTCCAAGAGGAAAGCCATCCTGAGAAATCTCTACATCCCATGTAGGAACCTATCCGACCATTGGTCAAAGGCGCCTGCTTGGCGAGCAAAACAGCCCATGATTCTGAACAACTGTAATACTCACCTCGCAAGCCCGTTGTGCTTCACCAGAGCCTAAGACTGCCAGCTAGGCTCCTAGTGCTGGGTCCGCTTTAATAAATTTCGGCCAAACCTGGCCGGGTGACGCGTCCCGGCCTCTAGACCGTCGATAAAGTCTATGCACGTACACTGATTCAGTTTGCTCGGCCCAGCGTTCCGGGCTCAACTTGTCAGCTACATGCAACTTGCTCACACTCATAGCGGCGTTACAGTGGAACACGTCAGAGGCAGTGCCAGTGGAAGCTCAATCAGTCTGCCAAATGATCAGTCACTGTTTCCCGGGTGTCCCATCTTACCACAGGCTAGTCGAGTTTACCGGCACGGTAGTATGGTCCTCAAGGGAGATTTCAAGTTTTCCGCTATACAGACGGTTTTTCGCTACCCTCCGAGGTTTCAGGCTACTAGTACCGTACTCGGGGCTGCCTGACTGCCTGACTTGCCTGGCGTTCACGATCTGCCTGACCGGACTGACTAATTGACCGCCTGACTGCTGTCCCCTGTCACCTGCCTGACCGGACTGACTGACTGACCGCCTGACCACTCTCTCGACCTAACCAACCTGACTGACTGACTGCCCGACCGCCCGCCTGTCACATATTTCTTCCCTAACCACTGCCTGACTGACTAACCGACTGACCGACGTACACACTGCATCACTCATATACCGGTAGTCTAACCAGCATGACTAACCAACCAGCTCCCCCGCTGACTGACCGACTGACTGACTACCGGTACATTAAGCACACCTTGCAACTGGTACATACCTTACCCGTCACCCCGGGATGACTGTGTTAGTAAGAAATTGTGATATTCACCTTTAGCTCGTGCAAGGGGTGTGTCCCAAGCAGGACCACCCCGGCCTTCGGCCCCCACCTGCCTACCCCCCCTTCCCACTTCATCACAGGTAGGTACGTATACGCAGATCCTTGTCACATACGGATCCGTTGCTACATGAGCAGGTAGCGGTATCTACGTACCTACCTACCGGCAGCTACGATAACCGGTGAAACCGGGAACGCGCCGGTTAGGCAGTCAGTCAGTCAGCGGCGGTTAGCATGTATACAACCCGTATACAAGACCGCAACACAGTCTAACAAGCTCCGGTCAGGAAGTCAGTCAGTCAGAACAGGAAGGATCATTCGCCAACATGGTTCACACAGGATTCCGCTGGAACAGCTAGTAGACACGGCCGGAATCCGCGCTAATCAACCGGAGCTTAAAATCTCCCTTGGGGACCAGATTAGCGGGCCCCTAAGCCAGTTGCCCGCCAGTTGGTGTGCAAATGTTTAGTGAAGGATCAGCTCTGGCACTGCAGCGCTGCACGCGCCAGTGCGCCACGAGGGTTGAGAATGCTGTGCGATCAGACAACCTTCACAAGCCAAATACCTGGGATCAACACTGATCAGCTCTATCAGTGCTTTTGGTTCTTGATTGCAACTGGCCGGGTCGTATCAGTGACGACCGCAGTAAATAAACTGTGACACGTGATCTCTTAAGTTGGGCTGCCGACAAGCAGCCTTTCAAGCCCTTTGACCTCTGCTATCGTTATGGACAGTACGTTTGAGTACTGACACTGCATATCACGTCAGAAAAGTCGTGCAGTGGCGCAATTCGGATGAGTCTTAATGACGATTCAAAAACAGCAGCCACGTCTAGCCAGTAATCCCGCTCGCGGCCCACTCCGAAAGTGCCACCTCCCACTCGGTTTGCTAGCTAGAAGTAACTTGTTACCGCCTTGTTCTTTCTGCAATCCATGGATCGCGCCCGCCACCAGAAGGTCCTCAGCCTAATCTATGACGGTCCATTTGGCCGGAATTCCGCCCGGAACTCATTCAAACAACCGTTCTGATACAATGATGCTGTATAATCATAAATCTTATTTGTAGTACCTAAGTACGACCATTTCATGGGCGCTTCGAAAATCGAAGTTTGTATTAGCGGCCTAAACTTTCGTACAAGCTATCATCATGCAGTGCACTCATAGCGTGGAGGCATATGATCTGCTCAAGTTCCATCATCTAAACAACGGTCATCACCACGGTCATCATGGGTAAGAATGTACGAACGGGTCACCACGAATCCTCCACGAATGCACTGGCATGCTGAGCCCGGGCCTCCAAAGACTCCTCTCAGTGGATGGTTGAGTAGCCTGGCCTCAGCCTGGCCTCAGCTCTTCGAAGCACGATATGTACAATAATCAATGATTGGTAGTAGATGATCCGTCACTTCTAGTACCACAGACGGATGGCCGTCCAGCTTAGCTAAGTCGATCACTCACTTCTGGTTTCAAACACCCCAGGCAACCAGTTCTTCCTACCGCAAAGACATTGAATCGATTCGACTCTTACCTAATCGAGTGTCTTGAAAGCATCCTGTGATCAACCAGATTCCTTATGCCCCGATCTACGCCGAGCTCACCGCCGTACGCATCTTCGGATTTCTGAATGTTCCCCCGATCTTCATACTGCTTCGTCCCGGCCTCCGGGAGCGTGCCGAATCTCGTCATTCTGACGGGCCCAAATCGAAATGCCATCCCAATTAGTTAAAAATACCCCCCGCCACTGCGATCCCGGCCAATCTCGATGCACCGAACTTATCCCCCGGGCTCAGACGTCGACCACGAACTCCCGCCCCGCTCGCAACTGCAGCCGCTCCACCTCATTGAGCACCCGGAAGAAGTCCAGGAACAACCGGGACTCCCTCCCGAACAGGCCGCTCCGGCCGCCCGCGGTGTTGTTCGGGCCCCGGTTGTTGCCCGTTAGCTGGTTGCACGGGCTGCCGCCCACCAACAGATCCAACGGCCCCGCTGCGACGAGCTCCGCAATCTTCCGGGTAGTCAGCAATCTGACGTCATCAATGAATTCTAGGCATCCAGTCCGGTCCAGACCGTTCCGCTTCCACCAATTTTGGACCACCGTCCGGCAGTGCTCGTTGTTCTCGACGCTGATGTACCGCTTGATGGGCACCGCGCGGCGATGCACCGCCACGCCGGCGCCCCCGATTCCGTCGAAGAGCGAGAGGACGGAGATTCCGCCCGGAATGGACCGGAAGTAGGTGTGCAGCGGCGATATGACGTCCGCAATTGTGTCCACCTGCACGGGCGCGAACGTTGGCCGCTGCTCTAGTTGCGTACAGATTGCTTCGTTTGCTGCTTCCTAGCTCCGGATCCGTTTTTATATGTCAGATTTTAGACGGCGCGTTAGCCGAGACAAAAGGCCGGACAAGCGCGGTACGCCCCTATATCTGGACAGGTTCACGACTGCTCTCGGCTACTCCAGACCTATCGGTCACGTGTAGCCGGGCCACTTTTGCTGAACGTAGTCGGGTAGACTTGTGCTTTTGTACGCAACACGTTGCGGAACCCTTCAGTAGACATACAACTTTCTTCAGATGGTTGAGTCGACAAGCGCAAAGAAGATCTTCAGCAGATGTCCAAACATAAAGAGCCGTGACTTTTCAAACAGGTTGCCGGACCTGTTCGTGTAATAGGAGGCATAGGAGGCTTCTTAAAGAGGAGCTTTGCCCGGCTAGTTATCCGCTGCGAAGACGAAGCGCCAAGTGGTCGAAAGCGGGACACAGCTGGATCCGATTCAACAACTTCTCCGCTCCTGGCAGAATTTTTCCAGACGCGGAATAATCTCGTTATGAAAGAAAAAGGGACCTCAAAAGCTCGAAACGTTTGAACGCCCGGGACTCGTGTCCCGCACGTACGTCCAGGAAATAAACTTCAAGAGAGATAATCATAAGCCAAGATGTGATAAAAGCTCCGAACAAAATTGAAAACCCCAACCCAAAAAGATACCTGCTCCGCACCTATACCCACCCTAACCAACAAAATAAACAAGAAGACAACTAACCCAACCAGTCCCAGTGCGGCTACCTAATGATTATCTCTGCTTATATTTGTCTTGAGTTCAATTACCTGGAACGCGTTCCCGAGCGCTTTGAAGACTTCGCCGCGGGGGATCCCGCACCGCGTGTGGCCCTCAGGGAAGCCCATGATCCGCTCGACCTCCTCCGCGTGGATGTTGGCTACGCTGGTGGGGCTTGTAAAGATCAGGTTGTTGCTCCTGCAGAAAAGGGAAATTCCCTTTTTTTCAGTGGGACACTTCCGACCCCAGCGGGGGTCGGCACGTTTTCCGCCTTAGACAAGTTGATTACAAAGCTTACGAAGTCTGGCTCTTGCTTGCTCATTGGGCTGACTGACTGTCGGCCCCAGTCCAATAAGTACGCCCGAGAAGAATAGACTGTAGCCTCCGGCAGTCAGTCACGCCCTTGGTTTGCAGTAAACTGATTCTCCCAACAGCCGCTCGCAAGGGCCGTTTGCAGCCTCTGTGAAGGCTGCAAAGCTTGTACATTTGAAAGGACTTGAGAATGAGAAGCAAACGGATCAAAGGAATGGTTCACGATTGGGAAAGAAGCAAAGAGTCTATGAGCTTTAAGATCTCAGAAAAGCGAATCCTGATTGATGCTCTCAAAGGAAAGGTGTCTACGCCCGAAACGCGCTAAAGTTGGCACCGGATTAATTCCGTCCCTTGGGATGATATTTTCGGAAGCAAATCGAGCTCAACAAGGTAGTGAGATTAATAAGTACACCCAGGATAGCTCTGAGAAACGTCGATGGTGACTCTATCTTGAGCGAAGCCCTCGAAGGTGTTTCCTGTTCACAACACTTGCCTAAGCGGATTTTCCTTCTCTCTTGGTAAAGCTCGAAATGATACACAACCGATTGAAATTGACAACTCAAGAGTGTTACCTTGCGGGTGAAAAGATATCTTCCAAACTATTCGAACACACTGATCTAGTCGCTTGATGCAGAGCTTTTAATGCTAGGACTCGCGATCAACCCGTCCCAACAAAAGATTGACCCGGATGAGGAAAAGCGGGACGCAAGATAGACTGCAGAAACAAAGAATTTAGAATCCTCAAGAAGGAAGAAATTATGGGATTGAAAAGCTGGGTAACGCAGTCAAGAAAAACAATCAGAGGCCGCACCTGATGTCGTCCCGCTCCTTAGCGGTGAGGTTTTCGTTGTTGCGCAGTTTGCGATTCAGCGCGGACAGGCTCAAAGGGTGCAGCTCTTTGGTGTTGATCATGTTCAATTTGTCGGTGATTTTGCGGCGGTCCCAATCAGGGAAGTTGCTGTGATACTCGGGCCACATTTCGGAGATGCGTAACGGGGCCAGCGGCGGGAGCGTGGTCCGACCAGCGCGGGGGATGTTGTGGGCGTACCTGGTTTCAGAATTGGGTTAAGAAGGAATTGGTGGTGCGATGAGACTGCTCCGGAAGACCCTTTAAGTCTCCGCTCAGAGAGTGTTGCAATATTACGGGTTGGCAGACAGCGAGTCTCTCCAACGATAATGTTCCTATCCGTAAGTTGCCCTGGCATAAACGGGTGAGCACTTATCACTTATCGCTGACCGCAGCCCCCGGACTTTGTGTTCCTCGTTCCTCTTCGTTCCTTCTTTTTGTCTACCATGAACACCATCAAGCCTCCTTGCAGAAAAGGATAGTCTCCAACATGTGAACATGAGAGCCCAGTTTGTACACACCCAATAATGGCAAAGCTTTTGGACTCACAGTTTGCACTACTTAATCAAGTGCCTTTGGGTCCCGCTGAGCAACGGCACAAAGCGGAATCCACTCCGGCGCACCTTCTAGCAAAGATCTCAACGAAAGATCAACGGCTTGTAGAAAAGGACTCATTAGCAGAACGAAAAGATTGCCCATCGGAAGATGATAGATTGATACTTTCCTGCTGTAAGAACCGAAGCCATGATTGCAAAAAGCGGTACACAAAGCCCTCTCACTTTCGCTTGCGGGTCGCGACGGAGTACTTGACACTGTCAATCAGTTCCGGGGGGATGCCCCTCGCGTGCCGCTGCATGACGTCCCACACGTTCTCACGCTCCTCTAGTTCCAAGTCCGGACCCAAACCCCCCGGCCCGCGGTGGGCGGACGCCACGTTTTCAAACAGGAAGTGACATGTTCGGGGACCATTTTTCACCGCCCCCCGCCACTCCTCCTCAAAATCCGCGTCGCCTGCGACCTCTGCGGGGGTGCTGACGTCATCCATCACGTCAGTCTCAAACTCGTCGTCGCTTTCCGAAATGGCCCCGTCTCTCTCCAACTCCCTCGCGCCGCAACGACCCCAGCTGTCCTCGCTCTTCGACACCGTTCTCCGTCGCTTCGCGGGGCTCTTCGTTCCGCTCCGACTCCGTTCGGTGCCCTCCGGTTCCGCTTGTTTCCGCTCCTTTTCTGGTGACTTCCAAACCGAGCCGAATGTGCTGCCGCGGCCGCCTGGCGCTCCATCACCGCCTAACTTTTCCTGAGACTGAGGTGAAACTGCCCCACTCAGCAGATCAGCACCCTCCGCCTGGCCCATGTCTGTTGCTCCGCTTGACCCGCCTCGAGTTTCCCCCAGTCTCGGAACGGCCCCGGTCGACGCCTGCTCTTCTCGGGGATCCTCCGCCCTCCTCACACCGCTTGACTGCCGAACGCACACGCTGCCTTTCCGAATTCCCTCTACGCTGGGCCGTTCATCCCACCCAATTTGCGGCGCTACTGCTTCGCTCCTTTCTGTCGACGGGTCCTTCTCCCCGGCCACTCTCCGACTCCGCTCTGTCCCCGGAGCTTCCGTCCTCTCGTTAAAAGCCGCGGTTGACTTACCCTTGTGGTGCAGCACGTTCACAAACCCGGGGGTTATCTTCGCGCCTGGTTCCACCCCCCCGTGCTCTGCAATCAGGCGCCGCCTCCGGTTGACATGCGAGGGGGGGCTGCTGTATGCTTCCTCCTCCGCGAACCCTTCGGCGCCGTTTTGGGGGGAAGATATCAAGGGTATAGAATCATTTCTGGGGGAAGGGACGACGCTCTTGAGCTTCGATGGCTGGAGATGGGTAGTGTCGACGACGCCTGAGCCTGCACTTTGCAAACAGAGCAGAGGGACACGTGTCAGACGTCTCAAGCGTTTGATATTGGCCGGCCAGCAAGATCAACGTTGATGATTTCTTTCCGAGGCATTACTGCGAGAGCGCAACAACGCCGGACCACTTTGAATCCGTCGTACTTCACTCGGACTTCGTTTCGTGAGTCCAACTCATCTAGCTCAAAGAGACAATATTGACAGTCGGTCACAAGCCAAGAAAAACTGACAAAAATCTTCACAATACAGCAAGCTCCTCAAAAACGGTTGGCGACCCACGACGAGATCTTCCTCCACTTTCTTCGCTTCGATCCAGTCCACCGCTTCCTCGACGCCCCTGCCTCTAGTTGCGGCCACCGCCTGCTGCGCTTGCTTCCGAGGAAAGCCCATGTCAATCAGCTTCCAAAGCCGCGTGTCTGCTTCACCGGGGGATCCCTTCACAGCCCCGGGGTTCGGAAACCCCTGCTGCGAGTGAAAGGATTCTTTTCAACCCCATTTCTATGTTGATTTGTCTTTCTTCCATTCTTTCATCCTGCCAACTTGAGCAGTAAGTGATTAGGGAGAGACTGAGGTTCTATTCTGAGTATATTTTCTCTGTAAAGAAAGTATACAAACGCCAGGAAATGATTCCTACTTCGTGAAAGATCCAGTGCTTCTTTACAGAACGTGGATTGGGCACACAGCAGATTGGACGAAAGTAAAAGCCGTTCCAATGGTTGCTTAACATCAACTTTTCAGGATGATTACCCAACCACTACAGCACTTGTGCTAGTTTGCGCAATACGTGTGCCGAAAATTTAGATGGGCTGCAAAGCGAAAAACGAGTTTGGACACGCAGACTCCTTGCCCTATGATGGGATCCAACAACGCATCTAGAAACTTTCACTAGGTTCGTGTTCAAAAATGCTCACAAATCACTTCGTCTCATCGCACTTCTGTTGTATTTATGACAATCTGCCCACGTGTCAAATCTTCCCGTGTGCTCACTCACCGTACCCCCCGGACAGCGTATGCTCGGGTTGCCCCCCGGGATCGAATCCCTCGGATCGCGTTTATATGTCCCAGGTACAACCGGTACTCATTTCCAAGCACGAAAAACTGAAACACCAGAAGCCGCTTGAAATGGGGCCTCAGGCGGATAGGCAGATGGGTGCCCACTTCCGCGGCGGAAGAATATTGGCTGTTCGGACAGCACGTTTATACGGACGTCGCGACGTCCGCTTCCAAACGGAGGGGCTCAATCAAGGGCCTGGGGGAAAAAAGGCGAGACCATCGACAATTACGACAGATTCAGTCACAGCAGTTGTCAACTGATGCAACAGGAGGAGCGAGATACTGGCGCCAAAAGGACTAGAATCTTTCGTGAACCGAGACGCCACTCTAACACTGAAGGCTGCGAGGTCACCACTACGAAATCCACGTTGCAGCTCGGACCCAACGTTCGAGAAGACACGTCTCAAAGATTTCCGCTTGCGGCAGTGTGATAAGCTTAAATTCTGGCTATTCTTCCCATCCCACACGGAGGAAAAACAGGCGAAGTTTCACCATGTCAGAGAGATGAGCATCTTGTTTGCAGAAGAAGCTCAGTGTAATCTTTCGCTAGGCAAAGGGCGCATACTTAAAAGAAGCCGCGACATCCTGAGTTCTGGCAGAATCCTTGAAGTCCAAACCCTGAACTTGAAGCTTTGCACGTGCAGAAACCTCATCAAGAGATCGCTCCAGAGCACTCTTATCTTTCTTCCAATTCCAAAGGAGTTTCGGTCCGTAACAGCCATGTCCTTCAAGTCTTCCAGGTTGACCGTAAGAAAGAGATTCCGGGAGGTCTCGGAACTGAACGCAGACAATATGCGGCAGCGTGACGAGAGGTCGCAATCTGGTATCCGCGTCAGCAAAAAGTAAGTACCCTTGAAATATTCCCGCCTCACCTTTGCTCATCAGCTGGTTTGCTGATTACATAGTGCGCCCTGGCTGTGGATATCCAGATCAGATACTGCTCACAATTCAAAATTGTGGCATTCTAATGGCTGCTGCCTTCTTTCCGCCAGGATGTCCCGGCAGTTTGTGCAGCACACTGTTTCACGCAGATTAATGCAGCTATCCAGAACGGACTCAGATTTTCGACGGACGTGCGATTGCTGCTGTCACCACAGTAGTCTTGAAGCTCCTCGTTTCCCCGCCTTGCTTGCTCTCCCGTCGCGCAACAAGCGACCCCTAAGTTCAAGTCCAACCTGGCTTTAGCAACGGCTTTGAACACTCATCGTAAGTCAAAACCGTGCGTTGCTAGGACGCACGGATGCAGCACATCATCTGCGGGGGATAATGCAATTCGAGCATCCGCCAACGCAGGCTATGCTCGGTGACCATACGATTGCATCATGCACGGAACTTGCCGCCTGAACTAACCGGGGCAAACCAACCGAGCACTGAGCACGGACATACAACACGTCCAAACTGCTGTAGGCATAAAATTTACAATCATTAACGACTCAGAATTCTGACGGGCTCACTTCAGTGCCCGTTCCATTCGTGACGCGCATGCAGCGTCGCCTTCAGCGTCCGACCATGGCGACCCTCGTGTTAGATAACACGTACAGAATCATCTCTTTCTTAAGTCCAAAGCATGGGCTTAGCCCTAAGGCCCCATTAGTTTGACTGACTACCGCCAATCAGCCGGCGGGCCCTGCAACTACATTGAAACCTCCGCAAGTGGCCCAGCGTATGACGCGCCCAAGCCTTTGATAGATTGTTATGTGCGCAGTTTCGATAGGGTGCGAGGACCGTCGCTTGGCGGGCCAATATCCCACGCTGCACACTTTCCTTGTGCTAGTGTGTAGACCTATTTACGAGATCGACTTGCGAGTCGCGTGCCTACTATCGATTCGAGCAAGGTCTTCATGCTGTCATCACTGTAGTGGGCGTAGGATCATTGTTCCGGGAGCATCACGGGGGCAGCAAGACTTGGTCGTGGGATAGACTTAATGAAGTGCCAGACAAAAGCTCTTGCGATCGAAGTTCGACGCTTCAACGTTTGCGAAGTCCGTCTGACCGGCAGCCCCTTTGGACCTCCCCGATCTGACATCTGACATGTGTCAATCAGCCCTTCGCGCAAAGGTTTATTCTGACGTAATGCAGTTTGCAAAACAACTGAGCTGTTGGCAGCTAGCTAAACGCTCTCTTCAGTTATTTTGGTCCTAAAGAGGGCGTCCTGTTTCTCGCCCTGCTCTAGTTTCTCTGCCGAGCTGGATCTCTCATGTGTCAGAGACTTCACTCAAAGAGACTTCCCTCAAAACATTCCCTTCAGGATTCTCACTTTGACGAAGCGGTGAATGTAAGATAGGACGAAAGTGCAGACGATGGTGGCAAAGAGGACGATCCACAGTCCAATTGAATTCGCACAGAGAAAAGAGTCCACTGAACCCTTGATGCTGGTGTCTTCGAGGAACGTTAGAAGCTCGCTTTCCTGTTCTCGTTACTTCCCAATCCAGCTGCCGCAAGCACAGGCTTTCTTGCTGGGCCGACCTGCAACTTGCATTTCTTCTGCCTCGGAACTTTGCCGACCGGGCACTAAATGAAGTCTGACTAAGCCGGCTCACAAGGGTCGTTGTCCTTTCACAGTCATCTTGCAAAAGATTTTGTCATAACCGTCAAGGCAAATGCCCCGGGAGTGCATGACTTGTATAAGCCCGATGGCGGGGCGTCTGCAGATGAAATGACAATGCAGTGTGAATCGAAACGAAGCGCGCACTGAGCGTGCAATTTCGGCTTGCAATTCTGATGGGGAACGAGTGCTTTGGTGGTCACTGAACGATTTGATTGCGCACCAAGAGTCCTTATACCATCTGAAGAAATCGCACATATCCGACCATGTGTGGTCACTGGTTGATGTTTGAGCTTTGTATATGCATACCACCCTCAGAGCGTTCGTGAAATTTCAGGGGGGCCGTGATCTCTGAAGTAAAGTTGGTGATCATACTGGAGTACCGCGCAAATGATGGCAGATTCTCATTTCAAATGACTCTAGCATCAACGTACGCGGGCCATACTAAAGCATAAAGGACAAGGTTTCAACCTTTTATTGCTAAGAATTGCATGATGCATGACAGCTAGAATCCATATAAGCAGCCTTAAGCTTGACGGAACAAACCATACCATGTCATGCTTTACAACTTAAATCTAAATTGTACGGTGGAAGTGGTAGGCGTTGGGCTTCAAGCATGAGCAGCGGAGAGAAGTGGGCCCGGCGGCTAGCACGATCATTCCGACCAGCGCTATGTCATCATATACAAGACTATAGAATGAATCAGACGTTCCTTGCGGTTTTGCATGTTGCTCGTGCAGCGATCGCAGCTATCCAACGCGTTGAACAAGTCGAACCTTGTACGCTCTTATACTCCAAGACTTTATCATCGAATGATTTCAAGAAAGGCTTATACAGACATGTTACAGGAGGCTTACGTTCGCCGTCCCATTGTATGAGCTTTGCAGCGGCTTCGTCTAAGTGCAAGCATATGAAGAGCCTATTCTGACATTCTGACATTCATCCCTTGCCATTTGCTTTCGCATCGCGCTATTCCTTATTGTACAATCAGCACATCTTGCCCCGCAAAGTCTTGCGCTACGCTACCGCTCTTCAGCCCGTACGGAGCCGATCGTGCTCGTGGAGGGGCTGCTGTCCAGGGTGGACGACTCCTGGACGCCTGGGCTCCGTCCCCCGTCGTTGCGCGACGTTGGAGACGTTTCCTCGTTAAAGGAGCCGCGCTTTGACTTGTTGCTGAACAGAGGGCTCGCTGCAAGGACAGGCAAGCAAAGTTAACTCCAACCCCCACTCTGTCTCTCCTCTCGATGAGGAGGAGAGACTTATCTAACCATCATACAAGTCCAACACCCATCCTTGAACCCCGTAACGAGAGCTTCCTCAAGGAGGACTGACTGCGGTCAGGCGGCCGCTTTGCACGAACGCAACTGAAGCAAAGGTCGCAACCTGCAGAAACCTTTACACGACCACAACCCGCAATCCTGCAGCGCTGCTACAAAGTAGCTTGAATCGCCTCGTGACCTCAATCCAAGCCCGCTCACTCTTCTTGCCGAGCGAGCGCCGCATGGAAGACTGCCGGAGGAGCGACTTGAGGCTCCGGGTGCCGGGGGTGAGCCCCGGGGACGGCTGCGAGCCGCCGTCACTGCCGCCGTCACTGGGCAGGTCATCGTCCACGGTGGACAGGCTGGAGGGGCTGCCGCGCTGCGACCGCCGCAGGACGGCCTTGGCCTTGCGCCGCTGGACGCCCAGATAAGTGCGTTCGAAGCGAGTCTTGAGGATCTCACGTGACGGGAGTCTTCGTAACAGTAAAACCAGAGTCACTCGGCGCCACAGTAGGGCCCTAGAATGGGAGCTTCGGAGCTTGAAGGGTGCTTCGTCGAGGAGGCGTTGTGCGCGCTGCTCAACCCGACCTGCTCAAGAGAATACAGTACGCCACCGATCGACCCCCTCACAGGAAGCGTCTGCAAGAAAGCAACCGTGAGATATTCATGTCAACTAAGGGCCTGTGGTTCTCCCCTCCTCACCTGCGCATTGAACAGGCCTTTGACCGACGAGACGAAGCCCTCGCTGGACCGCTGGCTGTGCTTGAATCGTCTCCGCTCTCCGCCGGGCGCCGAGCTCCCTTCTAACAGCGCCGCCGGCCGGGCCCCCTGGTCGCTCGACTCGGACCCACTTTCGGTGTGAATCTCCCCCCCTCCCTGGCTCTGGCCCCGGAACTTTTTGCCCTGCACTCCGGCCACTGATTTGAGCACCCCCCAGATGATGTGCTTCTTGACCTTGTAGAAGAGGCGCCGCCAGTCGCCCGTGAAGTGCTCGCGCGAGAAGGTGTCCATGAGGAAGCGCTTCTCGGAGAAGGAGATGGGGGAGCCCTCGTACGTCGCCACCAGCTCCACCTGAACAACGAGGGCGGGGAGAAGGTTGATGGAGAAAGGGATGAGTATTCAGGCTCGTGATCCCCTCCTTGCACTGATGGACGCGAGATGTGGTTCTACCAGGCGATGGTTTGGGAGACGAGGATTTGAGCAGTATAGAGCCGCTTTCAGACAAGAATGCTTGCAAAACATTCAAAGATGTGGCTCATAAATGAACGATGTCCTGCCAAAAGAAAGGGCGCAGCCTGCTTGTAAGCTATTCAGGAGCGGAAAGAGCAATGCTCAAGAAGTGATATACACGCTGCAAGTAATCACTTGACTGGGGAAAGGTACAAGTATCGCGGAGGCCAACTCTCCATACGCGGGTGATAAGATCAAGCCAGGGCGCAGTGTAGAATGTAGAAGTCCTGGTAAACGAGAGTCAGTACACAGAAGCAGCTGAAATCCCAACATGCACGCACATCCCCCTTACCTGCGCGATCTTGATGAAGTGGATGACCAAGTCCTTGCTCTTGCTGACCTCCTCCTCGTTCTGCCGCACCGCCTTAGCCCGCTGTTTTCGCCGCTTCTTCCCCGCTGGGGGTGTCTCGCTCGACCCGGACCCCTCGGCCCCCGCCGCCGCCAGAATCGCCGCCGCCTGAACTTGGAGCAAGCCCCCGACCTGCCCCAGACTCATCGCAGTCTGCGCCGTCATTGCCAACGGACCGCTGTAGCTCCCCGACCGCCCCGCCGACGTCGGCTGCGCAACGACCGCTTCCAGGAGCGCCGAGTCCGTCGACCCGAACTCGATCGCCGACGCCGTGCGCCGGTGCGCGGGCCCCCGGTGCGGCTCCCCGGAGCTGTACCCGCTGCTGCTCGCTTGCCGCGTGTGCGACACCCGCGAAACTTCCGCCATCAGCTCAGGGTCCATATCCACCGGGCTGGAGCTGAGCGGATTTGCCCCGGCCCAGGGGGCGGTTGGCCCCCCCGGGGAGGCGTTGAATCCAGTGCCGCCCGGCTTGGGGGAGTGCGGCGATTTGAGACTGTCCCCGCTGGACTGGCGCGAGAGGGACGGGTTCGGTGCCTCGACGGTGTTGCGGCGGCCACGGCGCGAGGCCGCGGCGGACCCGGAGGGCGGGAGCGCGGCGGTCTGGTAGTCTGCGCGGCGGAAGGGGTGGAGGTCGTCCTTGGGGAAGACGTATTCGAAGAGCATACGGTAGAGGGACTCGGTGAGGTGGATGCGCAGCGGATGGATGTCCACCTGGGGAAGGGATAGTGTAAGGAAGGGTTGGATCTGAGGGGAAAGGGAGGGGGATAGTCAAATGTGGTGGAAGAACCAGCCCGCTTCAGAGGCAGTGTCGATGTAAAGTGGTGAGATAGACAAAGAAAATTGGTCGCGTCGCTGGGCATAGGGTTCATGGTCAGCTTTGAATTTGCAACCGCTATGCAGCGTCAACTGAGGCGTCTTGCAGGGTTACTTTTTGAGGCTGGGCAGTACTGCCTTAAGGAGGCAGACAGGATGATAAGAACAAGCCTGCGTGAGCAGATTTTAACGATGCTCTCTTAGCATCTTCCTGACGATAAGTGCCCCAGCTCGCTTGTTGCCAACACTTGCACCAACCACCCTGACAACACACCTTGAGATCCACAGTCACTCCTCCTTGTAAAGGGCGCAGAGCGCCCAAACATGTGACGACTTTCAGATGGTCAACTCCTTTGATAACGACAGATTAGTTGAAGCATCGCAGGGTTGTGACTTCCAAGCTTTCTGAAGGTACCTGGAAATGGAGTATGGGCACGACGCCGTTGGGCTCCGGCGCGCCCTGCTTGGCCTCCACCTTGAGGATGCACGCCTTGGACCACTCAGGCGGGTTCCACGCGCCCAGAATCTCCTTGCACTTGGGGTGCGGCAAACAGTTGCGGATGGTCAGGTGCTTCACCATGAAGCTGGCGAAGCCCACGTCATCGAAGTCGCGATCCAGGTCCAGGATCTGCAACGAACGGCATCCTTTTCATGAGAAACGGGACAAGAAACGACTTGGAGACACATGATATCTCAAGGGTAGCAGACAATCACCTTGGGAGAGCAAACACGCGCCGTCGAGTGATCACCTTTGTGGTTCCACCTTTGCGGATCCCTCTTCAGGGTGCAAGCAGCCCAACTGACCAGTAACACGAGGGATGGCCGTCATCACACTCAACACGAGCGCCGCAAATAGACTGGACGCTGGTGACATAAGTGGCAGATGCCAGATAATTCACAGAGCAGATGGACTGCTCGGTTGCCAATGAAACAAGATTCTGCTTCATGAACATCGTATGGCCGAGCTACGTGATGCGCGCGCACCATGTTGTTGATCTCTGCCTCGGCGAAGGGCTCCCCGTCGGCGAGCATGGTCCACATGCCCTTGTCGATGATCCAGCTGATGCGCAGCGCGGACGACGGGTGCTTCAGCTGCTGCTGGTGCTTGGCGGCCGCTGCCTTGAGGATGCTGCGCAGGCTCTTGCGTGCGGCCGCCTTGGCCTCGCGCTTCGCGGCCAGGCCCAGCTCGAGCCGACGGATCTGCAAAACGAGCGAAGTGTACCCGTCAGAAGAGTTTTAAGGGCGACTATAAACATAGGGAGCTGCGTAATGGTCTCCTTAACGTCCGACTGGGCAAAAATACCCATAAAGCCATTTTAGGGAGGTGCGTAATGATCCGGTTGACATTAAAATGGACAACCAAATGACGTTTGAAAATTTGGGCTGGGAACAAACACTCCTTGTTCATATCCGCTGAAGCATACTACCTTGCTGGACCAACCAGCCTTATCCGCGGACATTAAATGGTGCCGCTATCTGAGGGAATGCGCCTTCTTCACAAAGGAGACTTACCAGAGCGTATCTTGCTGCAGTGACCATCCAGAGCTTGAGATCGTTGTCAATGGTTCCCTTGAGACCGCCATTGAAAGCGGCCTGCCCGTCGTCGGTGCCTTGCAGTCGCATCCGGTGGAGGTCCTGCACGGTAAAAAGTTCAAAAGGCTTTACAGCCGACCCCTCCACCGCTATGATCACGTAAGTGGTTCCCTAACGCCTGTCAAGAGCCCAGTCTTGGGGCCAGATTGAGGCTTCAGCTGACGCGTTGATTTCTCGCTCGTGGGGTTTCCTGCATGTTCCGTACCTCTTTGCTGGTCTGCCTTGCAAAGATACATGTTTCGGCAAACACGGCGAGACTAGATTGAAGCCTGGACTTTAAGATGCGGCACAAGGGCGGCGGCGGGATTCCGGCCCGGCAGTCCAACCTAGAGCCGTCACGTTAACAAGGATTGGACAACCTGGCACTGAACAGCATGGCCCCAAAATGGGCCCTTCTCCACAACGCTGTCGGCGCCCACCTGTGCCATTGCCTTGCACTCCCTCTCGAGCGCCTCAATCTCACTGCGCGCCAGCTCGACCTCCTCAATCCCCTCTGGCACCACCTCGTCCGCCTCCTCCTCTTGCTCCTGGTCATCATCCGTCGCAGAGGGGGCCCACCGGAGCGGAGGGTTGCGCGCCCTGGGCATGACGGAAAGAAGACTGTGCTTAGAGCCTTTTGAGTAAGGTTAGAGAATCCCTATTGGGCGGAGGCAAGAGATCGTTAGACTAAGAATCAAGCGTCCCTGATGGGCGGAGGCCAAAAGACGTTGACTATCAATCCAGGTTGCGGATTGAGGGGCTGCAAATTTGAAGGGAATAAGCTCGGGTTGTAAAGGAGGGACCTTGACAGACAAGATAAAGCTTGGCAGAAGCAACCCGAGGTAGAATCTGGAAGAAGAGGGGGGTCTGGAAATAGCAGATGACAAACTTCAAGCCGCCTCCCTCTTAATGCGGGCCAGGCATCGGGCGAATATAAGATCATCTCTTCGTGTTTGCAGCCGGCGCATACCTGGGGAGGCGCGCGAGCAGTAGGCTGGTGATGACGTCCATCAGAATGGAGAACTGCCGGCTGGTCATGCTGGCGCTGATGTCAGGCGACGTGAAGTGGAAGTGCTTCAGCGGCTTCATGCGCGCGTCTTTGCCCTTGCCGTCGCCCTGGCCCCCACGGTGCCGCGTGTACTGGAAGACCATGGTGCACGGTGTGAAAACGCGCTCCAGCAGCACCCCGGGCTGTCTCGCGTTTGCCTGCGCCCGCCCGTCGCGTGAAACCTGCGGAGAGGGAATGCTCGTCAGCAAGCGACCTTGGAATCGCCAGAAGTCGGAGAATCGACTTGAATTCGTTTCAGCTAAGTGTGCTTAGTCAGAAGCTGTGACGTACAGGTGGAAGGTTCTTCCAACCAGGAATCGCCAAGGTGTGACGTACAGGTGGAAGGTTCTTCCAACCAGGAATTGCCAAGGTAAGAGATACGGATGATTCGGTATACGGCCAGGTCTACGGAACTCCCTTGAAGAGCCGCTCTCGGGGAGACGAGCAGTGTCCCAGAAAAGCTTCGACGAGCCCTGGAACAGTCAGAAGATACCACAAAGAAGACCACTGGAACCCAATAATTGCCACCATAGGGAACTGTCAGAAGGGTCAATAAGCATGAAAGCTTACACGATTCACGCTCCAATAAGCAAGTTTCACGTCCAAAAAGAATCTTCCCCACCTTGGGCAGCCACTGGATGCCTGCGTTGAGGTCGACGTCCGTGGGCGCCACGTGGGCCTGCACGTGCTCTAGCAAAATGCTGAGCTCGCGCTTCCGCCACGTGATGATCGGAAAACCTCCCGCCGACGGCAGTCCGCGCATCTCGGGAGCGCCCGCCAGCGCCTCCAGACCAATGACGACCGCCTCGTGGAAAGAGCGGGCGAGGACGCGGCCGCTGGCAGCGGCGAGCAGGAAACGACCCTGGGAAGAAACAGAGTAGGAAGTTGAGGAAGAGAGGACGTTAAGTGGTGTTACAGCGGCGTTCGTACAGCACATGCTTGTGAGGCCGTGGGTTTTGTAATCAGCAGCTGCTTTTCAATGGGCGAATAAATGCTAAAAATACGCCCTGCATTGCTTTGCTGATCCTTGCAGGTATCACAGACTTTAACAACCGGGACTCTTCATAATGCAGAACGATCCCAAGCGCAAAACTACCAAAAAGAGACAGCGCAAAGCGAGTTGCGTAGGTAGCCACGGCTCTCCTTACGCTTGCGTTGTCCGAGTGCAGGTTGAACTGCGGCTGCGTGACGTTGATCATGAACTTCAACTCCCCGTCCTCCTCCTCTGCCACCGCGCTCCTTACAGCCGCCTTCGTCGGAGCGTTCTGCGCCGCCCCGGCTGCCGCCGACCTCGTTGTATTGGCCTCCTTCTGCAGCTCCGGGTTCATCGGCTTGTCCCCCGGGTTCAGTTTCCAGCCCTCAGCGCCGGGAGCGCTTCCGGCTAGGCTTCCCACCACGCCGCCCACGACCTTTTCAGCAGGGGTTGGCGACACCGGGATCTCTAAAACGTTCTGCCGCCAGCGGAGGAGCCGTTGGTGCTCCTCCATCTTCTTGCGCTGGGCGTACTGTTTGGAGGGGGAGGGCTTCGGGGACGAGAAGCCGCGCGCCATGTCGTGCACCCAGGACCAGACGGCGTCGCGGTTGGGCAGCGTCCAGAGCAGCTTCAGGCCGTGGAGGGAGACGCGCAGGCAGTTGTCGGCCAGCAGCACCGCCACGCCTTCTTCCTCCTCGCTGCCTGTATTCACAAGCAAAGATGAACAGTGAGTTTTTGCTACGAAGAGTCAAAAGGAGCGGCGTCCTTACGTCCGAGAAGACGACATGAAGCAACCCTGTATTTGCAGGTTGAGCAGAAAGCAGGCCTTCAAGAACCGGGAGGCAGTCGAAAGCCTAGGTCAGAGGCGAAGCGTTCTTGAGGACCGCTTTCGATCGGTCTCCAATACTTGGAAAATGTTCCTCGAGCTGATTGTTCTGCATCCACGCAAACTTGTTACCAACAAAGAATAGCAAACTCTCAACAGCGCCCCTACCTGAGACGCCGCTTCCATAGTCGCTGTCGCTCGCCGCACTCAGCCCGCTCATGCTGAACATCGTCATGCCCACACGCGGGCCGATGCGCCACGTGGCCAGCCGCCGGTTGTCCGCCTTGGGGGACTGCTTGCGCAGCGAGAAGCAGTCGGTGCTCAGAAGAAACCCCTTGTCGTCACCGTACGAAACGGAGCGGGCCGACCCGGGGTCTTCGGAGATGGAGGCCTCGCCACGGTACGTTTCGGGGAGGTCCATCAGCTGCCGCAGCTTGTCGAACCGGCGCTGGCTCTCGTCAGACTCGCGCGCCTTCGATTCGGAGTCGAGGAAGACGCGAAGCGTGCGGGCGTCGAAGGCCTGCCAAGGGACGGGCAAATGCATTCTCAAGGCGGCGTGACAGCAGTTCAAGCCCCAACGCAAGGAACAGAGCAGACCTCTCAGGAGAAAGATGCTCGGAAAACTTTTGGGGCAAAAGAAAAGACTCGTATTTTGGTTTGTAAGCAGTATAGAGATTTGAAGCCCTCGTGTAAGGCCGACCAATTAGTGTCCAAGAAGCATGTAGTCGATCCTGACTGCAAGGTTCATTTATGGCAACGCTGTGACCAGCGCTTAACTGCCTAAGACCGCCCAGGTCCAGCAAAGCGAACATAAGAAAGGCTTTCTGACCTGGTACACCACGAGGAGGTCCCCCCGCGGCAGGCTCCCCCGATAGTCGACCCCCAGGATGGAGGCGGTCTGCTCGTCGATGGGCGCCCGGTACCAGCAGCAGTCGTACTTGAGGTGCTGCATCTGGAAAGTCAGCCCCTCCGCGGGGTCGTTCTCACCGATAGACACGTGCTTCATACAGCACGGCGTCGAGTCGATCTGGGATGAAAAAGAGCTCCGGTTTAGCCTATGACTGGAGAGGAAGCTTGGGGGCAATGATGCTCGCGAAACAAGGTCGAGGAATTTGCAAAAACCACAGCACTCAAATTCAGGTGACAGCTGCACCCTAAGCGGAGTAGCAGCTAGTCCGGACAGATTGAAGCTGCGTTTTCAACAGACAAGTCTGGCAGCCCAAGGATACACAGAGATCCAGAAAAACAAGCTTGCAATTGCTGCCTCACCTTGAGCATGAGCTCCGTGAGCACCTTGTCCAGCCCCAGGTTCCCCGACCGCTTGCCCCTTGGAACGCCGAACCGCGGGCACCGCGCAAATGAGCGCAGCTTCATGGGCGGGTAGTACCACAGCGACCACCACTTGCGGACGAAAAGAAAGTCCGGCGCGCCAAGAGCGATCGTCGGCACCGTCGGGAAGTCCTCGCTCGCGGCCGACGACGCGTTCGAGCGGCGCCGCGTGAGCTGCTGCGCGGAGACGCTCTGGGATCGCGCAAGCCGCGACTGCGGGAGCGTGCCCTCGCTGTTGGAATGCACCCGCGCCCACGTGGCTTCGAAGTTGCGCGGGCCCTCGGGCACGTCGGCCGTGTTTCTCCGCGGGCGGGTTTCCGGGCTGCTCGGGTTTGGAACGTGCGCCGTTGGGGCCTCGCGGAACTTCATCTCAATGCCGAGCCGCAGCGACGTGGACCGAAACGGGTCGTTCAGCGTTTGCCGGAGCGTGCCCTCCCAAGGCATCGCGTGCAGGTAGTGCATCTGGGGTTGCCCCGAGGGGCAGTCCCAACCGAGAGTAAAGTCCACCCAATACACCGGGCTCTGTAGCTGAGTCGCCCGCATTGGCCCGGCCAGGGGGTCTGCCTCGGCCGCCGCCGCACTGCCGTCCATTACCCCTCCGGCTCCGTCTAAACCCCCGGCGGTGAGATTCACGGAGACTTTCTCCGCTTCAACGGCAACCGCGCCCGGGTAGCTGTTCACCTCGAACGTGCTTGCAGACAGAAGCAGCATCTGCTCTTCTTCGTACGGGTCCGGCGTCGCGAGGAGGGCTAACTCCAGGTCGTGGAAGACGACCTTTTGGTGGCCGTGCACGTAGTAGCGCATCAGGTCCCACCACGGCAGGCTGCGCTCCTTCGGTATCGCCGATGTGCCCTGCAGCCCGACGATTGGCACGCTGCCACCTGTCAGCAGCTCGATGCACCCCAGCCCACCGGCCGCGTCCTGCTGCGGAAAGGGGACACTGCTCATTGCCAAGTCGCGGACGGACTCGACCGGTGTGGGGGCAAGAGTGTCCACCTGGGACGCCCGAGGCGTTCCCGCGGCACTCGTTTTAGGAGTCGGGTTGGCGCTTGCAACGATGACGTCGGCGCCCGGGCTGGGCGCCTTCTTGATCGCGGTCGTGAACGCGTAGCTGATGTCTGCATACGCGGGCTCAAAGCCGGTGCCGACACCGATCTCGGCGGCGACCAGGTCGACTGAAAGGTTGGTGTACAGCTTGAGGGGGGGCGTGCATCCGCTTGCGGACCGCAGCATGCGGACAATCTGCCAGCGCCCGACGGGAAGCTCCTGCCAGACCAGGGGCGGGACCACAGTCGCCTGCCGCAGGGATGAAAACAACCGTCAGTGGTGACTCCTTCGATGACGTGAAGTCCACAGCAGGATGCAGTGAAGAGAGACATTTTGCGCACAATTTTCCAACCAGCCGTACATCGAGGAAGATAGGAGGGAATTCCCACCGACCGCTCTGTTTCCAGTTCTCAGGAACCGAACCAGTCTTAGGCTGAGCTTGTTCAAGCTTTCGTTCGGATTCGATGCGGGTATCTGCAATCGAGCTGATGTTAATACACGGACTGAGGCCAAAGGAAGAATCCATGGCAAAGACCAGCCCTGCCTGACCTGCTGTGCCATGATCATGTCCCCCTCCGCCGTGCCGCTTACGGCCGCCAGCAGCGGCACGCTGAAGTCCCGCAGCTGCAGTCGCAGCCCCGCCGCCTCCCACGTGGTATGCCGCCCGTAGAAACGGCTGAACGGCACTCCCCGGCCGGGCCGTATGGAATCCATCTCGCGCACCCGCTGCGTCAACCCCTCGGTGCCGTTTGCAATTTCGGTGAGGACCACGTCCAGGCTCGTGCACGAGACAGCAATGAGGCTTTCCCGCTCTTTGCTGACGCGGACGGTGCACTGCCCCCCTGGGCCGGGGGCTTTCTCAGTGGCGCCATCGATTTGAAGCCGCCAGGAGCATTCCTCTTTGTAGGCACGGCTGGCCTGACGCATCACGCGCTCCCAGGCTTCTCGAGCCTGCAACACAGCGGCGATGACGCTTCATAATCTTGAGTGCTTCGTCCGTAACCTCAAGTCAGCGGGTCGCACGACTGGCGTGGCGATGAGATGAAGTCCCCATATCTCTGAGATCGGAAATGTTCGAAGTTTAAGACGAGTCGGGTTTGAGCAGAAAGCAACTATCCAGAAGAAAGAGACTTGGATTGCCACCTCAAAGAAAAGAGTACACTTCAGACGCTTTGTTTGCTTGCCCAGCCATTCGGCCCACTTACCAGAGCCGGGTTCAGCAGATCCGGCCCATCCGCCCCCTTCTCCGCCGGTGCTTGCGTCGGTACCGCGATGAACGACCGCGCCTCCTGCATCAGCTCCTTGGCGGCCGCCTCCCCAACCTTCTCCGCCAGCAGTTTCTCGCGCACCATCGCTTCCCGTACCTGCTTCGCCAGCATCCGGTAATGGAGATCCAGCCACGACTGAAACGGCTCGTCCTCGATATCGGCACGGAAATCTCGCATCGCCAGCGTTACCTTCCCCACCGCTTTCCGTTTCTTCTTCTTCTTCGGCTCCGAGCTGACTTTCTCAAACCACGCGTGCCCCTCCTTCATCGCGAGCAATATGTACTTGAGCGCGCGCGCCGTGTCCTCCCCTGCGTCCTCCGCCTCGCGCAGCGCCATCCGGAAGGGCATCGTCAACCGAGTCCCGTTCCCCTGCACGAGCACGTCCCACGCCGCTCGGACGCTCTCCGCTTCCGGCCGGACACCTTCCCTTTCCGTTCGGACGCCTTCCGTTCCCACTTGGACGCTTTCCGTTCCGGTTCCGACGCCCTCCCCGTCCGGCTGAGCGGGGTGCCGCGAGACCTGTAAGCTGTTGCTGCTAAGAATGACGGCATCATTCAGCCCCGCCTGCAAACCCTCTAGCAGCACCCCGATCGACGCGTCTTCTGAAAACACCGACTGCGCGCGCAGGAACGCCTGCCAACCGAGCCCGATGTCCGCCCCAACGTTAAGCATCTCCAAATCCAAGGACACCACGAGTGGCCTCAGAGGAGCTGCAGCCGGGCTCGCCGCGCCGGGAGACGCTTCTCTCATGCCCGCCTTCGAATCACCTTTCGCGCTCTCCAATTCCTGGTCGATGACGCTTTCCTTCTGCCCGCTCTCGGCACCGTTTGCTTGCCCCCCCGAGTTGCTTTCCGCCTCTACTCCATTCGCTTTCGCTGCATCGGCCCCCAGCCCCGCCCCGTGATCCCCTGTCGCCCGCTTCGCCCGCTTGCGGTGCTCTTTTCGCCGGTCGAGCACCTGCTTCACATCCTGCCCCACCGCATGTAGGAACAGGTGCGCATCCGCTTCCCAAGCGACGTCGACCCCGCACGCCGCTACACACACGCTTGCCGGCTTCCCCTCTTGCTTGACTCCTTTGCTATAGACAGCGCTCGCAGTCTGCACCCCGCAGAGCGTGACAGTCCGGTCCGACTTGGGGTCCAAGGTTCCCACCCCGGACGATATCCGACTAGACTGCTGCGAAGAACTCGCCGATCGGCTTCCTTCCTGCACTTTTGCCCCGCTGCGCATCCCAGACTGGTCGAACGAGCTTCTGCGACTTGCCGTCCGAATGTCGAGCGGCAGCCCCTCTTCCCGATAGTCCAGATGACACCGCTCGAGCTTCGTACTCACCACTCCGCTCTGCACAATCACACTCACTTTGCCCAGTGCCAGCACGGCACTGCAGGGCAGAGGTGGGGCCTTCGGACCTGCCGGGCTGGTTCGGAAAGCACCTTCCGACTTGAACAACGACTCTCCGTTCGACTGGGATTCGCTATCTAAGACCTGCTCTATATGTACAGGAACGATTTGGGCCAGGTCAGGTCGCCCATCGCTCTTCGGATTGCCCTCGACTGTCACGACTCTGAATTCCATGACTCTATCGATCTCTAAGGCAAACGCCTCCATGCTGAACCGCACCTGCTCCACAGCCGCTCGCTTCTTGCGCTTCGGCTGGCTCTTCTTGGCTGACGAGTCTTTGCTAGGGTCCTTCGCAAACTTCCCCTTGAGGTACGCCAAAAGCGCGTCGCTCTCCTTGACCAGAGCGCGGATCTGCTGCATATCCAAAAACAGGCCACCGCCCACGATTTCGATCTGCACCGCCCGCACGTCGCCCGTTGCAGAAGCGCTTGCCGGATCCTCGGCTTCCAACCCCTGCGAACCCCACTGCACCTCCAAGTGCCTAAGCCGAAGCAGCTTTGCGAAATGGGTCTCGGGGGCGCTCGAGAGGAGGAGCGGGTCAGACGAGAGCCGTTTGATGGAGCGCCCGATGGCCTCCGGCTCCACGAAGTGGAAGAGAAGCTCGTCGAACTCGCAATTTGCCTCCAGGACCTGGGGCCCAGACGCTGCAATCCAGGTGTGTGCCGAGTGCGCGGTGACCTGTAGAGAAACTTGTGACGGATTTGATTCCAACAGGTCATTATGTCTTTTCGAGAGGTCGGTGCATACAGTGACCAAAGAAATGGCCTCAGCAGATGGCAACAGTCGAGGGGGAGATATATAGGGGGCTTTTGACCCGAGAAGACACTTGACAGTCGACGGCTTCTCGAGTACGCACCTCTTGTGGCTTTAAGATAGAAGCTAGGCACGAAATGCACCCTATTGAAGACCTGAGACAAGACGAACTTAAAAAGCACTGTGCCCCCCGAGCTGATGCGTTCAGAAGGTTTGTCAAAGATCCATAAACCAACTTCAAACAAAGCCACCTTACCTTTAATACTTCGACTTCGAATGGACCATAGAGAACGAGAACAGCATCTGGGGCCGAAACGGCCACGTCCCACAAAAGCTTGCTCGACTTTCGCTTCTTCGCTCCCGCTGCAGCCGGCTCTCCGGACCCCAGTTCTCCAGCCCCGCTTTCTGCCCCCACCGCCCCCTGTCCTCCCGGACTCCTAACACTTTTGCCCACCGCCGACCGGTGCGCCTTCCTGCTCTGAAGAAACTTAACCGCGCCAAGTGCAATCGTCAGCCACGGGTCAAGGTTTGGTGACACGTTGCACGTTGCCCCCCCGACTTTGACATCTACTGCGGCCCTGAGCGGCTCCCCTTGGCTGGAAGGGACTTGGATAGACGCGTGTACCACGCTGCGAACAACATCGACCAGCGCCATGTCCGTGCCACGGAGAAGCTGCACAAACAGCGTGCACGCAGTCAGGACGACGAAAGTCGAACAAACCAACCATTATAAAAGCGCATTACCATCAAAGGTCTGTTGGGCTGAATTTCTAATTTCGCGAGACATTTAGCGAGATAACTTGTGCACGTGCTCAGCTGTGCTTCCAATCTGGTGTAAGGGGCAAAGATATCTCAAAGATCTCGAGACGTACCTCAAAAGCGCCGCATTGACACTGCACGTCAAGCAGCCCCGAAGATCCCGCCTGATGATCGGCCTGCGTCCCCTTAGCTTCCACTTGCAGACCCGTGAATCCGCTCAGCAGGACATGCTCCAGGCTTGCATGAGCCCAGGAGACTTTCAGGCAGGGCAGCTGGAAAGTCACTTGATCTGGCAGCCGGAAGCCGCGTTTACTGTCGTTGAGAGCATCCCCATCGTGACTTGGACCATCACTGGGTTGCAAGAGGTCGTTCAGAGCGCTAGCTGCCTGTGCTGCAGCTGCACCGTCTACAGAAGCAGCTAACGGAGATCTCCCTTGTAGATCAACATTCTTGGCAGCCTGGTGCACCTCTTCTTCTAGAAGGTTCCACGGAGCGGAGGGATCGAGGGTGGTAGAGCCCGCGGCCGATTGCTGGCTTTCGATGGACTCCGACCTGGCCGGTGTGGCGCTCTCAACGGTCCCCTCTAGATGAAGCCAGGCAAGCTGCTCGTTTAGATTGACTGCCATTTCGCCGCAAGCAACCCCTGCCTGCATTACGCAGATTCCATGCGCCTTCTCGAAACCCACGGCTAGGTCAATCACCATGCTCTCCAAGGTCACTACAGGTACGCAGACCTCTGTCTTCTTCGAGCCAGACAGAAGAGAGAGGAGGCTGTGCAAGCGGGTACTCTGCTCCTCTGCGGTTCTGCATATCAGCAGGTGCCAGGGAAGGCACTCCAGCCGCAGGTTCAGGCGGTTCGTGGCATGTCTCTGACAGTCCAGGTCCAAAAAGTTCATATGCAGAGAGACATTATCCACCTGCACAAAAGTGAGTTCAGGGACATCTGAAACACGGTGCCTGACAACAAACTTCACATTTTCCCGCAGAAGTGATGATTGTGTACAAAGATTCAGAATAACAAGCAGAAGGCTCTTTGGGATCATTCAGGGATTTCAAACTTCATCTCAAGTGATCAAGTACAATCTCGACAACCTCCATTTACTGAAAGCCATCTGTTTAACCAAAAAGTTTCTTTGAAGAAGAAGCACAGTCGATATGAAGCGGCCAATGTGGAACTCTCAATGCCAGGGAAGCCAATGCTCTTACCTTTGTTGAAGTGAAGATCACGTCCGTCATGGAGACATGTAGAAGACCGACAACTCTTGAAAGAAACCACCAAACACCAGTCCCCGAATGCTGCCCGCGTGCTTCAGAAGGCCTCCTTGGTTTCTTCTTGGCCTTCTTCCTTGTCGATTTCACGGTGGGTCTCAGTAGTACCTCCACATCTTTGACAGCAATGTGCAGTTTCAGAGCCCCACTTCTTCGTAGAACAGGACTCAGGGAATCCCTCACACTGCAGGACATCTCGCCGACTGTCACCGATGCGATGGGGCCCTGCAACCAAGTGTGAAAGAGTGCAAATGAGTATATGTTGACAGCTATTGATTGAAGCGACCATCAACTAATTGTATTCTGAGTTGTTAACATCTATGCACTCAGTATGCTGGTCCTATGAGAATACAACTTCCCCACACACAGATGACTCACATAAATGGTCCAGACCAAGACTCGCTGTTCAGCTGACAATGCATGCAACTTTGCTTTCTCTCAAGCAGTTCTTAGCTGAGAATGCTGACCACCTTGTCCTCTGCCCTTCCAACCCACCTTCTTGAAGGTAATTGACAAGTCCTTCAACCTGATTGGACTGATTATCCTGAAGTGCACCATGTTGCCCGTCACTTGGCTGATGAGGAGCGCAAGAGCCTTGGCTGTGAAGCTGCAGAAATAAAACAATCCAGCTTTTAAGGAGGTGCATTCAACAACGAACAACTCAATGCAATAGGTTACTGCTGTTGAAACCCTAATTCACGCAATCCTCCGCTCGCTTGGATCAAACCAAGAGATGTCCAGGCACTTTTCCTGCATTGCACCCGCTGCAGCACAAACTCTCATCTCCTTGCAGCTAAGCAGGAAGCTCACTTGAAGAGCAGCCATCCCCCCAGCGCCAGTATGAGAAAAGCAGCAAAGCTCGCTCCTAGATCCATCTTGTTCCAGCTCCTTCACCTCCAGGGAGAATGGAGCGCTGACCCTGCGCTCTTCAGCTGCTTCCTCAGGCTCAGGCCTTTGTGTTAGTCTTTTCAATGCCTTGCAATGAGTCCTCCCCTGCAATCCGCCATGATCGGACAAACAGCCCTCTATTACAGATTGTAAGTGCGCTCACTCTAGTTTTCGGGGTCACTCTCAACAAACTTCAAAGTTGGGAAACTTACATACGCTGAATGCAGACTCACATTGCATGTCATCGAGGGAGAGTCTCTAGTCCTCCAAGCTCGAGATCTGATTGGATGCGGAGATAGAGCATTTGTGATACTTCTGATTTATCTGTCGCAATATTTCCCCGGACTCATACCTACTATTTATAGGAATCAGAAACCTTAACCCAACGTTATTCGAAGTTTGGGGCCGAACCTGTACCTGTACCCTAACCCACCAGGGCGTTGACCTAACCTGCCTAGAGTCCATGCGCCGAAACGTAGATTGAACTCAAACTCAAACTCATCGACACGTATACATAAGCCGGTAACTTTCGGCTTCATAAGCTATACACACGACCTGCATTTGCTAGGGTTGTCCCGCACTCAGTGCCAGTGCCACTGCAGGCTCAGCCGCAGCAGCAGGACATTCATGAAGAATGGTTCTCCTGATTCTGACTTGAAGTTGAAGATCCGCCATTCACAACGTCAATGTCAACAGGCCTGCATTACATACAGCTCTGCATTCTGTTTAAGATGCTATTTGGAGCTGGACGGAGAGCTTTTTGTGTGGGTGATTGCTTGATATGCGAGCAAGAAGAAGTATCAGGCCGTCAATGCCCAGGCCAGTGTTAAGTGTTTTACTGTAGTGTCAGGTCTTTAATTTGAGGAACAGGAACTCAGTTCCTGCAGCACGCAACTTCGATCCTTTGCATAGATTGATTTTCCATTCCTCTGTCACATTGGCTGGCACTCCGTCAAGCAAGCTGCTTGTTGGATCAAGCCAGGCAGCATGGCAGTGTCAAGCAGGGCAGTCATCGCCCAGCTTGAGCACCGCAGCTTCTCCTCCAGCTGCTGCAGGAGGGATCCTTCCGATGTTTTGCTCGCTAACTTTCCAGCTAAACCTGTGCATTTACCAAGTGGTGGGGCTCTCTCAAAAGATAGACGCCGAGGCCACTCAGAAGTGCACAAGCAGAAACTGTTCTGTGTTGCACGTCTTATCAACAATCAGACTCGTAGGAGGGGATGTGGTACCGCATCCTTGCAGAATGGATTACCGGCTGATGAATGGCACAGATCATCACCAGAGAATGCCCTGGGGCCATCTATAGCGTCTCAGCGAAGGGGCCAGTCGGATGTGCGCACATTGGCAGCAGGTGAAGCTGCATCCATAGAAGAGGCCCAGCTGGATGAGGTACGCAACTGTCACATGGAAGTTTTTCTCGCTAACTGACAATATCATAGCTCATTCTGAGGTTGCTGTCAGCAACTGGGCCGCATAAGACATGTGATTGCAGACAGACGTTCTTGTTCCGTTTAGTCTTAGATGCTTATAGGCAATGCTAATGAACGCCACCACCGTCAATCAACATCGCATTCTGAGATTCGGTGTTGGCCCCCCTTGCAGGCAGCTTTGAAGGTTCAGGAAGGGAAGCGGCAAATTGGCCTCGCACTTCCAATCTTTGGAACTCAGATGGTTCAGCTTCTCTTAGTACTGTCCTCCTCTGTGTTTGTTGGTCGTCTTGGCGAATTTCAGGTGAGTGCCTGCACAACTTGCTTGTGCAGAGTCGATTGAGATCCTACGGTGTCCCTTTGTCTGTCTGCCTCCAGTGTGGTGCCTCAGATCTACCTTCCATCCATTGTTTGTTTTACCATTGACCAGAGTGACAACAAGGAACTCATCAGCTGAAAACATTGGCCGAAATGTCGCGCCAGCATGACTGTTGAAGTGGAGATTACTCATGCCAGGTAATCAGTAGTTCGCTGACATGGCCCTAAGTGATTATGCCTCATGATCTTTGTGTTTTTTATTCTGATTGGACTGAGTGGCCTGCAGCTGGCGGTGGCGCAATTGGGAGTATCCCTGGGGAATGCGACCGGTCACTATGTGGTCGTAAGCCCAGAGTCTTTACTTCTTCTTCTCCTGCTGATGACTCCATGCTTTTGCAATGATGGCTACCTGGATCCATTCACAATCTACTCCAATCTTAGCTGGAATGTCCAAGGGCCTTCCGGATATACTTCGATGAGCTTGTTCTCCTATTCATTGCTGTGCGACCATGCGTTCCTGTCGTTGGATATGACTTGGACAAGCAGTGCTAAGGAACGAAGTCTCTTTGACAGCACCATGGCTTGGCCTCCAACACCTGAAACAGCCAGACTCAACGTTAGTCACCGCAGGAACAATGGAGCCCAGCCCTGAGAGTTTCAGACGGTGATCTTCCCTCACATCTGTGCAGAACGGCCTGGCGCTCGGACTTGAGACCCTGTGCGGCCAGAGCTACGGCGGGAGCGAACTGATGGAAGTCGGGCGGACGGTGCAGTGCGCCCTGGTGGTGCAATTCGTGCTGGCGGGTGTGGTTAGCTGCTTGTGGCTCAATTCCGAGCCGCTATTGCTGGCGCTCAATCAGGAACCTGCTTTGGCGGCAGGAGCTGCCAAGTACCTCAAGTACCTGATACCAGGCCTGATGGCGAACGCGTGCCTGCAACCACTGTGCAAGTACCTGCAGTCCCTAGAGAAGCCACGGCCGTTCGCGGTCTGCTCGGCGCTTGCTCTAGCGTTGCACGTGCCGACAAACTGGTGAGCTCGTCTTTGCTCGAGTGACTGCCGAAACAGGAAGGGAAATGTCTAACAGTGTAGAGTTTTATCCCTTCAGCATCGTTTGTTGAAGACCATGGTTCTGTCCTTACTTGATTCTCTGCGAATCCAAAATGTCGTAAATTCCCTTCATGCAGCGTGTCTCGTCTCCCTTCATGCAGCGTGTCTCGTTTCTTTGCAGGCTTCTCATACACAAATGGGGTCTCGGGCTAGAGGGAGCAGGTAAGTTCAAACTCGTTCTTTGGAAGGTATCCCGCTTCTCAGTTTGTGAGATGTCGAGGCAGAGAATGTAAGCAATCAAACGGGTCAAGCTTGCAATCCTGCTGCGTGACAGCAAGTCGTTGTTGAGCTGCCTTACTGTTGAATTACGGATTGTTTGATGATAATCGTCGGTTGTGATGTTTTCAAAAGGACCTGTTATTGTGACCCCACGTTTTAGATGTGTAGCAGTAAACGGACTAAATTCGACTTGAACATTAATTTATGGCTGTTCCGGGAACCGCGAATCACAATCTCCGTGCTGCAAAGGTCGCTTCCGTGAAGTTATGACCTTAAAAGGATCAAGACGCGCCCATTAGTTCAACGTAGCATGTAAAGCGATCGAAGCGACTTAAAACAGATCGAGCATCAACTGTAAGATGTCATAGAATATAGTACTAGTACTCTTAAGGACAAAGTCTTCACTTTTAAACAGGCCGTGCTGATCTCTGTCAACCGTGCTCCCTCTCGCAGCCATGGCCACATCCATAGCGTACATCGTCAATCTGGTGCTGCTAGCGGGCTACACCGTCTTTTCTGGAGTCTACAAGTCAAGCTGGCCCAAGTGGTCTCTAAGCAGCCTCAAAAAGACAGGGCCCTTCCTCAAGCTCGCAGTCCCCTCCATGATTATGCTCTGGTGAGCGTCGAGCCGGCGTCTTTTTCAAACCCTCTATTGGCATGCTTTGCGATCTTCTAGAGAGGTCATTCTCCATGCCAGCACGTCTTCAGATGCTGACTGTCCGTCCAATACTGGAACTGAAACGATAGATCCTGTCGTGCGTGTGGAGGCATGAACATGCTCGAGATCGCGTCACCTTGCGGCACCTTGATCTCCACGCTTAATTCTTGACAGACTTCCCGCATACACTCTGCTTACTTGGTCAGATCCCGTCTTCTGCGTGGCCTAAGCAGCCGACGACGCCTCAGAAGAAGCATCGCTGAGGTACGACTTTCTTTGTTTGCAGCTTGGAGTACCTAACATACGACATTCTGATCATCTGGTGCGGATGGCTCCCAAACCCGACCCGGACCGTTGCAGCCTTCTCCGTAGCGTGAGTTGCCAGATCTCTCGTCTCGCTGAGCCATTTACCTACGTCCCTTGATCTGCTGGCAGGTAAGAGGCGACTAGGAGGAGAAAACAAGGTCGATAGAAGCAAAGACGATTCTGGTCGTTATGCTTTGTGAGTGTACTTCGAGAGTATTTAGCTGCGTTGTCCGGATGCTTGTGGCCTGCAACTCGCTTGGCTCCAACAAAAGTCTTCTACATAATGCTTGAAGCCTAGGCTCAGCCTGTGGTTGGATACCACGTGTTTTCGGCACACTCTCAGTCAAAGCTTGTACCTTATTGCAGATTGAACACAGCCTGGCTCTTCGCCACCCTCTACATCGGTCTCAGCAGTGCCCTCAGGTGAGTTGTCCACTTTGATCTGTAACCACTCTATATCATTCCAACAGTATCTTGACCGGACGGATTCGAGTCGGGAATAGCAGGTCTCCTGTTGCTGCCTCGATCAGATTTAACGCCCGGAATCGCGAAACTCGGTCCTCTGATGCTTGATCCTGTTGAAAATGGGCCGTTTCCCTCCGTCTCGACGGCTGTCATGCCACGAGACACCGGTTGCACTTTTCAATCGATACCTCGGCCGAGTCCTTCGACGAGCTTCGTGATATCTCTTGACCCTACCCCGTCACTACGAGCCGACCCAAGCCGAATCTCCCGAATCTCACGAGGAAGTCCATCAGGGTTTAAAATTCACCAATTCTCGCTGCAGCACACGTGTCGCCACCGAATTGGGCGCCAAGGACGTGGAGGGCGCGAAGCGGGTGGCGCGCGTAGGGATGCCCCTCGCGGCCGGCTTCGGGCTGGGGTCCGGCCTGCTGCTCTTGGCCGTGCACCGCTGGTGGCCGCGCATCTTCATCGACCGCGCTGACGTCGCGCTCTTCAAGCTGACGTCACAGGTCATCGTCATGTACGCGTTCGTGTGCATCGAGGACTGCCTCTCCTTCAACCTGGGAGGTGAGTTGCGGCTGATCTTACTGCGTGATCAGAAGAAACAAGGCTTGGAAGCCAGTTTATGCCTGGAGCATATCTTGAATCCGTTCCTTGCTCGTATTGCTCGATGGTTTCAACCTTCGATCGTCCGATCATTATTTCTGGTCCCGGTGCAAAGCGACCACTTGGCAGAATTGAGCCAACAGGGCCCCGCGACACAAGTCTCTCAAAAGGCAAGCCCGACGTTTCGGCAGACGCGTGTCATGTCCAAAGAACTTCTTGTTGGTGGAGGAGCTTTTGTCTCTGACAGAAGCTTCTACTCTTCCCTGCCAACTGATCAACGAGCGATCCGGTCTCCCCAGGGATCGTGCGTGGCTTGGGGCGGCAAGACACGGGCGCAGCCATCACGTTCTCCAGCTACTACGTGGTGGCCCTGCCGCTCGCCTGGTACTTCTGCTTCAAGCGCAACATGGGCGTCTTCGTGAGTGGCTCGCCTTTCTCTTTCTGCTCAATGAAACAAGTCCTCGGCAAGATGCATTTTCGGTGGTGTTTCCAGACTGAAATCAAGGAAAATCTGGTCAAGCCGTTGGTGTTGTGGTAAGGCCGTCCGCTAGCAGAAGCGACGAATGATGGCGACGGAGTGTGTACCCACCGGATCAAACCCTCCCCACATAGTTATGCGTGCTCCCCGGGCACTGTTCGCTCTGTGCCTTCCCTGACGACGCTTACCAAGGACTCAAAGCCCGCCGCTGCTTGGAAAGCGTTCTGATCTATATGATTGGCTTTGAAAGGTTGGGAATCAGTAAGAAAGACTGGCAGTTTGCAAAGCCGCGGTTCATTTTCTGTCCAGGGCCTGTTGTCGGGAGTTGGCGTCGGGTTGCTATTCCAGGTCACCGCATTGGCAGCGGTGGTGCTCACGACTGACTGGCAGAAGATGGTGAGACGCATTGCCGCATGTGTTTCAACCGGATCAAACGTGACTTGCTTTAGTAATAATCCGTTTGGAATCTGCTGTATGTGCTTTCTCAGCAAGCTTTTTCTCTATTGCACACCTTATGAATGACTCTTGGTGCTCCCATTCGAGAAATTTTGTCGCGCTGGTGCGTCCTTAGCTTCTCACCAGCTTTTGATAGGGAGGTAGTCTGCAAGTCTTTGAAGGGAATCGTCTCATGTGGAGATGCACATTAACATCTCTGAGTTGCAGGCCGACTTGGCCAGTGCGGCTCAGGCGCTACCCGAGGCGGATTCATCACCCGGAACACTTCAAGGTGCATGAGTTGGATTCGAGGTTTCGAAGCAGATAAGGTCAGGGGAAAAGCGCTGTCCATAATCTCTTAAGTCAAGAGCACAGGTGAAACCGAATTTTACTGCGACTATTTATAGACTGTCGCGAACTTGACTAGTCCCAGTACTGGTTGAAGAGCATCGTTCGTGGGTTATAACCAAGGTATAGGATAAGAGCTCCGGGACTGTTCAAAGACTTCGAAGCCGTGCACTTGCGGCAATATTCTTTACTGGCAGCGTTGCCGATTGCCGGGTCTGACAGTAAGGCTGGGTAAGCTGGTCAATGAGGTCGTCGGTCGCAAATGTTGGAATGTTAAGTCCTGCTCAAATGTTCCGAGTTCAGCAGTCTGCCCTCATTCTCAGCAGACCGCTCAGAAGGGCTTGCATGAGATAAGGTTCATTGAAAACTTATTAAAGCTAGTGCAATGTGCACGATCAGACGCTGACAAAAGTGGGGGCCTTGCTAGACTTAACGTGACGCGCGTGTAAAATACCAGCTAGTAATTTTACATAAACCTCGTGCTGGCGCGCTCGCTTGATTCGATCCTTTCAGCCAATGCAGTAAGTTCGTTGTATACAATGCACAGCTTATAGCCGGCCATGCATGACTGCCCGGCGCGCGCACGTTTAGGCCGGCTAGTACTAATTCGCGCAATTGGCATCGAATTTTCTCAGGCAAGATCAAGGTACGCATGAGGTAGTATAATCCGCTATGCGTCGATGTCCGATCGGACATGACATGTCCTGAGTAGTAGGTATAAGACATGCACATCCTTGCATCATGCATAAAAGTGTGCACCGGTCGCGGGCACACTGACGTGACGTATACCACGAATCCAATAAATCATAAATGCCAGCATGCATCGCAGCTAGATCGTGGCAGTCACGTACATGATCATGTCTATGGACTGATTGGACCGCACTGAGCCGAGTATGAAATAGCAAGCCTGCTATGGTGCAAGCTCGTCACGACTTCTTCACCAGCTATACAGCCAAAAGGTAGCATGTCGAACTACAAGACTTTCTGACGTATTCCCAGAACATCCAAGCTCCGACATGCACGAGCTTAGCAGCCAACCAACTTACTCACTAATCTCTGCCCTAGTGATCCATCGGCTGTGCGTCCCCCTCGGCCTGCCTCCTGTCCGCTTCCCTGTACGCCACCTGCGCCAGAAACTCGGGCCCCAGCATGTCCTTGATCTCCACTCTCAACAGCCCACTCAAGTTGCACACCTCCACTATCGCAGGGGGGTGAACGGGCAACCCTAGGGCAGCCAGCGCCCGCACCGCGTTTGCTACCCGACACATCCTCTCCCTCAGCTGCAAATCTACCTGCCCGCTCGGGCCCGCCGCCTCCATACCTTCGTCTTCGTCCCGCCCCCCCGCATCAACCAAGTCTTTCGACCCGATCCAAACGTACCCGTTGCACCCAAGAATGATCCCCACGTCCAGGGGGGCCGCCAGAGCCACAAAATGCTGCTTCAGACGCTTGATAAGATATGGTGCGACAGTAACGAGTTGCCCCCCCTGGAGTTTTCCATACTTGGCGCTTCGGGTGTGGAGCGCAACAGCGCCGTCCCCTTGGTTGATCTGCTGGACCTCGGCGCTGATGAGGTCGTTTTCCTGGTACAGCTCCCGCATGTTCAGCTCGTCCACGTTGGTGCGCCGCCTGCGGAAAAAACAACCAAAGACGCTTCAAGAGAAGAGTCCTTCAGGTTTGCGGAGTTAGATTTGGAAAGACCTGTTGGCTATAAACGACGGATCTAAGGGGCAAAGAAAGTCTTTGAAAGCAGCCAGCTCTGGATGAGAATCGGGACAATGAGGAGTCGGATCAAAAACCTAGGACCTACGAAAGCAAGGAGCGTACAAACAATGATTAACAGATACAAAAGGAGCACAAGGGGGCTTTACTCAATATCACTATTTTGTCAAGTATGCAACCAAACATGGGCACCCAAAGGTCTTCCAAAAGGACAGCGGAGAGGATCTAGCCCTCCATGACAAACAGACGCAGCCCTCAGATGCGCAATTCGAAGACCTCCTCGTCAGATGAGACGGCGCCACTTTGGTGCCTCACCTCTGAACCCCGCCAGGCAGGTTCACAGACGCGAGCAGAAGCGCGGCGTCCTGCTTCCCGTTGACGTCCATCTTCCACCGCTTCTGGGCCACCTCCGTGACCCTCCCCACCACCACATCACCCACCTGAAACAACGAGTCAGATATTGTTGCTGCGCTGAAATGATAATTGGTATTCCTTTCACTGCTGTCTGGGCTAGCGCCACACAGGCGCTCGCTTCATACCTCAGATAAAATCGGCGCCCTTCGCAAATGAAAACACCTTTCAATGATAACTGCACCCGCACGAGAACGTTGTGTCGCACAATTCGCTCTTCTCGAAGATCGTGGCTCTGCTTCATCTGCAGATTGTCCCTAGTACTTTGATCTAGCCGTTCAGATCCCCTGGCGCCTACCAAGCTTACTTGAAGGGCTGGAATGAGGAGATGAAGAAATCCATCACTAAAGCACGATGCAGCAACTGAATCCTTAGCTTGACGCCGATGAAGGCAGGTGCGAAACTAGGCAGGCCAAACACCGCCAGGTCAAAAACACATGAGAGTTCAGAAATACTGAATCTAACAACGTAAGGTGACTACACAACAATGCCCAGACGCGCGCACCGCCATACGCAATCGACCTCCTTTTGATACGTCAGCTGTCGGAAGAAGTGATCCTGCAGCCACTTGGACCGACCAGACCCACGCGCATTGTTCGCAAATCCTGTATCAGCATTGCAACTGTTCGTAAGCGCCCTGCAAGCCTAACAAGTGCCGCTTACTGCACAGCAATCCGCGCACCTGCGCTGTGTAGCGTCCCTTGAGGGCCCTGACAGACACCAGCTTGTTCACCCGCTCCACCAACCCGCACACTGTCGCCTGCAGCTGCGCCTCCCCCGCCATCATCGTTCCGTGCCCCTTCATGACACCGCCCTCTGCATCGGCCCCCAAGTCTATGGCATCCCCCAAGCATACCAGAGGCAAAGACGCTGTGCTGCTCTGCAGAATGGCCTGCGCCTCCGCCAATTTGGCTGCCGCCTCATCTAGGCTGGGGGCCGGCCCCTCGGGCTGCAGCATTGATGCTGAAAAAATTTAGAAAGATCGAATGCGACCCAAAGAACCAGCTGCGCGCGACTGCTTTGCACTTTTGGGCTGTAATGTAACAAACAAAGGGAGCAATCTGCTGTGGTGCAGTGGACCGAGATGATTTGTTGGGAAATTCAGGTCTCTTCAATCAGCTCCAATAACATCCAACGTCCGCGCCTTTTGGGAACACAACTGGCCGGTGGATAGAGGGAGGTTCGTCCGCCTGGACACAAGGAGCGCTTTCAAACCACTTTCCCTTCATTCGATCGGCAGTGTGCGGCCGGACTCTCTAGGACTCCTAGGGTCTCTCTAGCTGCATTGCCCGACATTTAGTGTGTTGCATGTTCATTGTCACTGTCAGTGTCCGCGCAGACGTGAAGGTTCTGTGAGCTTGCAACGACGGTTGCATATGGTAATGGTCTCCCTTCCCGCCGCCCATACCGTTAGCACCCGCAACCTCAAAACCGGCTCCGTCGCTTCACCTCGACGGTTGATTCGCTTCGTAGTTGCGTAACCAACAAATCGGACGTTATACGCTTAACTTACGTATCAAGCTATCATGCAAGGCCATGTGGGGATGCCAATCATTGAGCCGTGCTTGAGCCTCGAGTCAGCTCAGCTCAGAGTCGGAGCCAGTCGGACTCGGAGCTGCATTGACGATGACAATTTCGGACTCTGATGAGCGCTGTCCTCGAAATCTCCTTGTGAACCCACGGAGGCTGGAACTTGCAAGGCGCCGCTGGAAGCAACGCCCTGTAGGGGGAGCTAGGTAGCTGGGGTGCAGCTGGCAAACTCCTCGCGTCCTCCTGCCCGTACCACCAACGTCCTCTGACCCGCTCTAATCATGGCGGTCTCGCTGACGCAGCGGCTGGTGGTCCCCTCCACTGGGGCAGCATTGAGTCCTTATGCGGCCAGCTCAAGCGGCGATAGGGTCCGATCAAAGCGGTCGCATAGGCACCCGGCAGCTGGCATGTCACATCCTATCAACCTGTCTTCACCCCACCATAAAATTGGGCCCAGCGGCCCGTCTCGAAACTCTGCGCGTTCTCTAGCAGCTCTCAGAGAAAGTCAACACGTTTGCTTGCAAGCGCATGGCTTCTTTGGAAGCAAGCTGCCCCTCTCCGCTGACTCGCCAGAAAGTGGCACAACAACAAAGTTTAGAAACATCAGAATGTCAGCAGCGGGGGGCTCCGGCCGGCCCCACAGCCCAATTGACCCCGTGGAAAGCCCTCGCACTCAGCCTGCGGACAACTTAAGTGATGCGCTTGGGAGAATTGTGGGTCACCCGAGCGGGTCACTAGTGGGCGCGTTGGCCGTGGCGGCCTGGAAAGGCATCACAAAGAACACGGCTGAGACGGTGGAGCTATTTCGAGATCTGCCGCCATCAGATTTGACTGGTGAGTCTTTCATGTGTATGGCCTTCCATGCTGCTTAGCGGTCACTGATGTGAGAGTTCTGATCGGCGTGGCCTTTTGTTTTTGACTCTAAGAAGACAGGTTTATTAGCAGCAGACTGATGCAGCTCCAATAAACCTGTTCTTTCCGGTTTCATAGTGAAAATCCAGAACGAGTTGTTTCCCCTGTAAACGACATCTGTGATTGGTATCTGTTAGTTTAATCCTGAGAACCGCGCACAGTGAGCACTTCGAGTTGCTTTCAAGTGCCTTTTGGCCGGTCCCGCCACTGCCCCAGTCTTTGATACACAACCTCTATCAGTTGGTCAAACAGTGGTCACATGGTGTTGCCCCTCTCGATCTTCGCGTTGCCACCACCAATCTTCTGGCAACAAGAAGGTTTCAGTAGTATAATGTCTCTTCATCCGGTGGTCGCAGACACAGTGGCGCCGGAGGCCCTGGCGGACCCTGACAGCAAGTTTGTGGATGTGGGCAAAGTGAGAGTGCACTACAAGGAGTACACAAAACAGGGCCTCTCGCCAACAGAGGCGCAGCGGTTACCTACTATCCTGCTCCTTCATGGATTCGCGGGCAGGTGATGTACTCATAGAGCACTCTTAAGTTTGAGAAATTACGGGTTTGCTTCCCATGCTTGATAGATGTGATTGATGAGACTTGGGGCGATTCTTTGTACTTTTCGTGAGTGCCCTCTGCTGACGACGTACGTTCCAGGTTGAGGGCAGAAAGGGCACAGCAAGGATTGAAATTGATTACAGTGCCTTCTTGTTGATCTTTCCCATTATCTTCACGAAAGACCGCGAGCCCTCACAGATTACAGAGCGAATTTATGTCCACGTCTTGGCAGCAACGAACTTTTCCAGGAACACTCATCATTGCCAATCGTCTGTCTACTTTTTCCGCCTCTGTTAGAGTCTTTTCAGGCCTTCCAAGATTGTAGTTCAGGGGCCCAACCCTCAGAGCAGCTTCTCAAGTGTTCTGAGTGATTCGCTTTAGGTTCTTGCGTTTGCAGTTCACTCTGCGACCAGGTTATTCATCCAATATCTTCCTTTTTGCAGTACCTGGTCATTCCGTAAAGTGATGGCGGACATGGCTGAGGCTCTAGACGGCCACCGGGTCATCGCCTTTGACCGGCCCCCGTTCGGCCTGACTAGCAGGTGGGTTCCGCACTCTTATTCGACCCGCGAAGCGATTCGTGGTTGAAACGTGGTTCTTCTATGCGGCGGTGGCAATGCTAGCAGCAATTATCCTACTCCATTTCGCAGCCCCAACCGGTTGTGACTCGCATAGGCTGATCATGCACTTCTCAGCTCAAGAGAGGCTCCCATCATCGAGCTGTATAATCCAGCCTGCCTCTCTGATTGATAATTGAAAATAATGATTCCACGGTGTGTGATTCCCATCTGGCGGACAAGCTATATGCGTAGGGATGACCTATGTTGGAATTTTCGGACGCTGTCTGCAGGCCTTTGGACGTCCAGCCGGGCGCTCCGGACAACCCGTACACGGCGGAGGGGGCTGCTCGGCTGATGCTGGCTCTGATGGACACGTTGAAAATCGACAAGGCCGTCGCCATGGGGTGAGCAGGCTATCCCCTTTGTCATCTGTTGCGCCTCTTTCCCGCCCCTCCACCCTTTAGAGTCCTCTGACGGTGCTCGGGCGCTAGCTTGCAAAGATGGACGAATCACGCAATTGGATGCTTCTTGTCAGCAGCTGATTATGAGACACGGTGACGACGTGAGGGAGCATATCAACGTCTTTCATTGGTGGTAGAGGCACACTAGTGTCGATTGTGCTCTTGGTACTTTGAAAATCGTCTCTCCGCTTTGCCTGGCCTCACTTGCAAGCTTCAGAAGTATAGTTCGTATACCACAGGCATGAAACGGGAAGTACAGTTTGTATACCACAGGCATGAAACGGGAGCACTGATCATGGCCCCCCTGATTTTTCGCAGGCACTCAGCGGGTGCGCCCATTGTGCTTGACGCCGCCCTTCTGGCCCCCGAGCGTATAACGGCGCTCGGCCTCCTTGCACCGGCCGTGTTCGTGGACAAGTCGGCACTCTCCCGAGGAGGGCTGTACGCGCAGGTTGGCGTTGCTGACAGAGGGTTTGGGTGCTTTGTTTGCTTCGTCAATACCGACCCGTTGCTGCCTTCAAGTGCGTTCTCGGCTCTTGGCGCTTTCAATCGGGTTGATTTTGACTCATCGCATATCTGCGGGTTTCGGGTCATCGTTTGGTGTAAAACCCGTTCAAGTCAGCAAGCGCCTTGTCACATGAAGAAGCAGGCGAGTCGCCGAAACGCAGCCGTTTGCTTGCACAAGGTACGGCTGTCGGATACGCATCTACAGCCTCTGTACGATTTTGTAAGCCGAACGCCTTCATTTTCGTCAGACATTGAGCATCTCTTCGTTTTTGCTATGTGCAGCTCCGGTTGTTGTACACTCGCGCCCTGCTCAGCACTCCCGGCGTGGGCCTGAATTACATTCGTCAGATGGTAAGAACTCAGCGCCTGACCTTACCTTCTTTTACACTTGTATGTGTTGCTTCAATGTGTGTTGCTTAAATGAGAGGGCAATACGCTTGCTAAACGAGAGGGCAACAGGGAACGAGATTGACATGGTCCGGACACATTTTTGGACCGTCGTTACCCTCGATTGCGTTGAGAGCTGCGAAGACGGCGCATAATTAGCCAGGAGTGGTCGTTGATTGTTCGCACGTCGGCCTCATCGGGCAACAATATGAGCAAGCTGAGCGCCAGATACGTAAGTTGGTGTCATCTACCGGCTTGCCTTTCGCCTTTCTCGTCTCAACAACACTCATGCTAAAATCAAGAACGCAATCTTTCATTGCGGTGCAGTACCGAAAGCGGCGGGCGGAAGTAAACAAAGGCGCAATGACGTATGCTGATGCCGACAAGGTCACGAACGAGGTGAGGGACGACCTTTTTTGGAAGCATGCCTCCGAAGGTCGAGCATTCTCTTGTTCAGAAGTTTCGAGGATCACAAGGTTTTGTCGTTCTGCTCGCCAGGAATTCTTTTTCCTCGTTGAAAAAAACTGGTTGAGGCGAAAGACGCCGCATGAAGGCCATTGGGAGTCTATCGCGAGCGACAGTCTTGACGGTCAGGGGCCTCAGTGGAAGCTCGTTTGTAGGTGCCGCGACATGCTTCCTTCTTTCCGAGAAGCTCTAATGAATGCACCAATGTCCATTCAGAAAGCCCAACCTGCGGGCCTTTTAAGGGTTGCGATTGACGAGGGGATAGTTCACTTCTTCTGGAGAAAACCGAAGTCGATTTTGTTCTGTTGCCTCCTCTTTCGATACCGCTGGAAGAAGACGGCTGTCACGTCTCCCCTGCAGGACATCGAGGGTTACCTGAAGCCCATGATGGCTCACGACTGGGACCGCGCGTCGCTCCTCCAGTTCCAGAGCTTCGGCTTCGAGCCTGTGGGCGACCGCATCAAAGACCTCAAAGTGCCCGGTACGTACTGCGGCCTCTGGGCTGACTTTTGCACTGAGCTTCACATTTGTGTGCGGTTCAAATGTGCGGTTCTGATGCAATGCCCAAGTAGGCTGTGCTTACCGATTCCGCTAATGACCGCCTCGTTTAGGCGGACTCTTTTTGTTAAGCACGTAGATCGGGCGAAGTGGACGCCCTGCAGCCTCGTGCGTTGGCAGCCTACGTGGCCCTGCGCTACGTGCGCTGCTAGAATGCAACCAGCACAATGGATTTCGCTGGACCACAGGATATTGCAGAAGCCTCTTTTGGCGGGCCAGTGTTTTCGCACGTTCTGTCAAACGATCAACGCTTTTGAGGTTGAGAGTGCGGAGGACGCACCTTAAGCCAGCAGGAAAACCTGGCAGACACCGCGTCTCAGGCGTTCATGTTCTCTTCGCACTAGTCAAAGCCGATTACAATGCACCACAGGACTCGTTGAAGGAGGAGCGCCCGGTCCGAAACAGAAGCTTGTTGGTATGCAGCCATTTTGACGGTGCCACGCGTATTGGTCGTGCAGTGCTGATTCTGCAAGGCGACTTGGACAAGGCCGTCCCCGTGCAGGCCGCCCGCTCGCTTGCCGCCGTTCTCCGTGACGTCACGGAGACGTCATACGTGGAACTAAATAACTGCGGACATCAGCCAATGGTAAGTCACCGGACTTCCTTCGCATTCTTACATTTCAACATGAACTTTGTCAGTGCGTTCCATCTGGATTGGTTGACTTTGACGGCCGAGACTTGAGGCAGTCCCAAGCGGTCGTTGGTTGATTCAGCTGGCATGCTGGTACCCATCGAACGTATGAGATAAAGATCTGCTTTTTGGACCGCAAGCCGTTAATATAAACGACCGTGGCCGCCAAGAAGCTGATTTCTTGCGTTTCTGGCAGAGCGTTAAGTTGAGAGATGCATCCGTTCACCGAAAAAAGATTAAGGTGTTTATCCGAGACGCCGGTTCCAAGCCGCTGAAGCTGCTCGTTCAGCGACGCCTGTCAGAAGGGGAAAATTTGAAAAACATCAGCTCGAGGGAAGACGATTTCGGGGATGTTTTGGAAGCGGGGCCAGGAAACAAGTGCTGGCTGCGAGTCTCCCTGACGGGCATCGGCTTGGTGATCCAGTTTCTGAATTGCTTTTTTTTACTGAACCGGTTGTAACTTGTACACATCTATTTCGCAGGAGGAGTTTCCCGAGGTCTTCGTTGAGAAGGTCACCGACTTTCTGCAATCGCTCCCCGACAAAGTGCCAGCTGCGCGCGCCACCCCAAGAAGGGACATTGATCTCGAGACGCGAGTGCCGGTCCTTGGACCGGACGTGACGTCAGTCGAGGCTGCGCCTACGTCACTGTAAAGCAGCACCTACACTCATTCATTTGTACATTCTTTGTAAAGAAGCTTCCGAGTCGACGCCCCGACTCGGCTGTGATATAGCTGCCGGCCGCAATACCGCTTTGCATAAGCTTGCAAAAACGCCACGGAACGAGATCAGGCTTGGGCATAGATTTACATACACGTTGCAGAACGCAATCTGGTTGAACACTTCGCTTGAAATGAAGCACTAAAGTAACGTCTTGGAGCACGGTTTGTAGAGCCTGTGTAAGACTTGCCTCTGCATGGATTGGACCAATTCAGGAAGTTGATTTCGTGCGTGGTTGGACAGGCAGGCCGGCCGCTTGCAGTGACCCGCTGTGAGCGAGGTGCTCTGGCCGTTGCTCGCGGGTCACTGCATGTGTGAAGCGGTGTCCGTCAAGATTCGCAGAGGAACAAGCAAGTCGGAAATGCTTATTCGTCACCCAGGGCGTAAGGGTACCCAAGGTGCGCGTTCTTCGGTTGTACAATCTCGGCTGCAGGCTTGGTAAGGCCGTGCAACAGTTTCTCGTCCAAATGTGAATGCGATGTATACCATGGGTATCTGGCAAGCTGAGAAAAGCATGTCAGCGAGTCAGTTGCGCAGCTCCGGCTCATGAATATACTCTTCGTTATGTATTACAGTCGACCGAAGTCCCCCTTAATATGGTCAATCGTAGGAATTCAATTCAGGCTTACATATATCATTGAGGCTCAATTGGCATGCATACCGCGAACTGGCCGCCTCAATGGCCTGCAACTGTTGCGAATCTGCTCAATCTGGATTACGGACTTGAGTTAACCAATACCGTCATATAGGACACACATGATGATCCAAAACTATCCGACAGTCGGACATGGCGCAACAACATATTAGCTTTATGCAACAGCAGATCAATCATAAAGACTCCTGAACGGCTGATGAAAGCATGTGCGCTACAACAACATCGAAGTTCTTGCATACTTTCGCTCTTTTCACTGTCTATCCGGGGCAGCTTAAGTATATACTGCGATTGGAACGTTTCCCTGAGCGTCTGGACTTCCGCGATAATTGGAACCCTTTTGACAACAGAGATTTGGGCACATGTGCAGATCGACACAATTGTAGACCGGCAGCCGTGATTGTAGCATGACAAATAGGAGCAAAAGGTAGATCACACTAGATGGTACATGCTTCATAAAATTCATCTGCTTATCCCGGCCAGTACAAAGTGACCTCCATCAAGCTTTGCTTGATTTGGCGCTCAATGCTGGGTCCTGCTTGTTTACACATTATATCAGCAACTGCATTTCCTGACGAGCTTGGGGACTGCCCTTAGACTGGGGCGTCTTTTCACTTACCCTCGACGGGTGTCGCAGGCTGATATCTGCTAGAGTACAATCACTGCATGCATCCGCTACACGCAAAGCCCTCACTAAGGGATAGTCTTTGCCGGTGCCACACCAACATACCACCTTCATTTTGACCACAAACTATAGTAACATGGTACATTGTGACCTGTTCTAACCCTTCTCTGGCGTCAAAAAGACGAATCCATTTCAAGTCCTCAGTCCGCTGTCTGCAGCTCTGGCTTAACGCCCGCCTCATCCTTCGCAGTACCCTCCTTGATTTGCTTCTCCATCTCTGCAACCTCTGGTGACTGCTTCCGCCCCTGTTCTGCCAATTCCTCAACTTTGTGATCCTCTATGTTGCTATCCTTAATCGCTGTCTTAGTGCTCTTTGTGAGCCTTTCCCCAACAGTTCCCCCATCATCGTCCTTCAGTGTCTGCCTGCTGCTGCTGAAGCACCGCACCTCGAAGACTCTTGACGTACATGATGCCCACCGCTGAACCTGGCCATGCTGCAACGATGTCCCCGCTAGTATTTCTTTGAATGCCCTTCCCAATTGGGCCATTGGAAAAGGTCCCAGATAGCGTTCAAGCCTCGGACCTGTTCAAAACTCCTTCGTCCCGTAACGGTGTCAGCTTTGTGATTGAATATACAATCAGCTCCCCACCTCTGAATGCTGTTTCAAAGATGGCCCCACCTTGTCAGCGTCACCTGAAGCTGGTTATGTGAGGTCACCCTCAACTACTCGCCTGCCGTTCCACCACTTCTGATCAGACTTCACAAGGAGGGTGCTCTGGGACCGCCTCTGCTCAGTGCTGGCAGGGCGTACCACTGTACCAGCAATTACGCAGAATGCATGCAGACATTGCAGAGTCTAGACTTCCAAGCTGTCCAGAAGATCTCGAGATCGAATCTAGAGGCTGAGGTTCGCCCACCGCTTGCCACCTCACCAAACTTCCTGGCCCCGAGTCTCAGCCTCCGAAATCCTCGGCCAGCTGCGCCTCAGTCTGTCTAGCTAGCCCTTGGCGAAGCTTTGTCGGGGGCGCCCAGCTCGGCGCAGGGGCAGCAGAAAAGAGGTGGAACGGATCAGAGTCAGGGCGCAGGAGGCGTCTTAGATTCCATGGTACTCCTGAGGCCGCTTGCGTGATTTGCCAGCTGCTGTGCATGCACGTAAGCAGGGCTTAGTCAGAATGGCGCACGCTCTGTTGCGGCTCGGCGCGCCCCGTTCTTCGCTCCTGTGCAGATTCTCCACAAATGCTGCGCAGACGAATGTTTTCCATTTTCAGCAGTCAGGCATCTCTAGTTCCCAGGGGTTGGCCACGGTGGCGGGCGGGTCGGGAGGTCGAAGTGATTCAGAAGGTGAGTTTTGTGCTTTGACAACTTCGGAAATCAGTATCTGTTTGGTGTACCTCAAGTTTGCCGGGGCAGCTGAAGACCCTTGGAGGTAATGGTCCTGTCATACTTGCAATACACAGATACATGTGTGACTTGTTGGTATCGTCTGTGACCTGGACTGGTGGTGCTTACTTATGGTCTTCCAAACGCTGAGGTGTAGCATGGTGGATTCGTGTATGCTGATCAAGGCTGGTCATATTTCCCGGTGGTCAGTGATAGGTTTCAGCCAAGATGTCAGGGAATGCATGTTCCTGCCAGATTTGTCAGTGCACATCCTACATTCACATCCGCTCATTTGTGGTGGTGCGTGACAAACAGTTGAAAAGCCCCTTTCATTTTAAACCAAGCTGCTGCTGGTTTTACGCATGCAGCTTTGGCTATGGTGGTTTCTCTTTGTTGAAGCTGCTGTGCATTCAATACTGAAGTAGTGTCAAGGGTTCAATCTGAATGAGCGATTAGTTGCTAATGGAGCAAGAAGACAAATGCAACCGTCGGCTTAGTTGGAGAAGTTACAGTGATTAGTTGGGCATCAATCAGAAGCTCCTAATGGTTTTGGGGCCACCACTTTTCTTATTGCATCAGTGGGCTGTTGGCAGAGTCCTCTGATTCCAACTTATGCGATGAGAAGTTTTGCTCCTCGGGTCTGTCACGCTTTTGCTCCAAGCATCGATGTGACTTTTCTTTCTGCACCGGATATTGCTGTACTTAAGAAGAAAGAAAATTAGAATGAAGGGTTTCATTCAACATCAGCATTCAGAAGATCCGGTGAAAGGCTAGATAATTGTATCTCCGGCAGCTAGAAGGACCCAGTATTATGATGACCTTGAGACTCCCTCCTCAACTAGAGTCCTGTTTTTCTTGTTTTCTGCAGATGTCCGGCAGTCGGTTCCTCGCTATCGATGGAAGGAGGAACATCTGTGGGTCGCAGCTTTGGGTGCATGGGGCGTGGCAGCATATGCTTTCTCTGCGGCGCGAGAAGCAAGAAAAGAGGGGGAGAAGTCGAAGGGCAGGGTTGCGATACAAAAGCTCATGAGTGGTGTCAAAAGATAGGGTCGGAAAGTGCCAAGACTGGCAAACGGCGATAAACGAGGGGGTTTGGAACTTCGCGGTTTAAGGGCGGGAGCAAATGACAAGAAAAAATGACAGGAACAACGTGGCGTGCATGATCCACAGGGACGCTTTCAAAGATGAGCACGTCCGTCCGGGCAATCGGAGCGGAGAGGTGTTTGGGGTTGCATGTGCCCATAGGGGCAAAAGCAAACCAGGGTTTGCCTTAGCGGGGGGATGGTGATTCAACTCAAACCAGATTAAATGAGCTAGGATCCAAATTGATCAGGGTTGAATCTGTTCAGAAGCTTGGTCCAACGAGCGTCTGGATTTTTGTGTACATAAGCACAGGTTAATATACCGCTTACTGCCATGGGCGCACCAGGAATGGATGGGTGCTGTTAGAAGTAGACACGCAAACTTTATAGGCTGCAAACCCAGAGATCGACGGTCCAGCTGGCAACCAGTCAAGTTGCCTGGGTCCTTATATTTCAGATTATATGTCCATCTTGCCTTTTCCTCGGTGTTTCAGAGTCTACACAATCTTTTCCTGGTCAATCGTTCTGGCATTTTCCTTGTGATATTATGACTCGAATTTCGGCCCGTGCGCTTACTTTCACAGATCTGCCAGTGGCATGTTGCATGCACCATCAGGCATGGCTTCTAGTGAGCCTCGGATGTTCAGAACTGGTATGCACGAAAGCTACCGTCCGTCTGGAATATTATAAGCATGGTCTTCTTGTGTGCCAGCCATCCTAAACTTGCTGGCGTGTACGTGGTCGGAATATGTTTATATACTTCAAATATTGCCCGGCCATGCATATGCATTCAAGGTGCCCGGCTATAGACATGCCACATCAGAACGTAGGCTTCACATTGCTATTCAGAGCTAGCTTGGGTCAGCCGCGCGCCGGTGACGTTAGTATATGCGTGTTATTATCATGTGCCACATGAAGTATACAATGATGGCGAAAATTACAGTACAGTGGTACGATAAGACGCGGCACATGCCATGATATGGCGGCTCCAAGCAGACAACGTACATCCATGGGCCAAAACTTTGATCAACAGCTGGCATGATGTTCTCTTTTACACGCCGTAGCCACCTGGGCCATAGGCTTCTCATGGCATACAATGATATAATATGAATGAATGTGTTGGCATCACTATTTCTTCCTCAACGTCCGACCTTCTACTAACCGACGGCCCTATGGCATGATCTCAATACTACGACCAGCGCGCTAGTGTCCTAACTGCAAGAACTAGATGAGGTTCCTACTGGCAGCTAGTCCGCATGCATGCCCACCTCTTAGCTGAATAGTAATCTAGGCTTCCTACAGCTGGCAATGTCTTAATGTCTGAGCCGTCTTGTCCTTGATGCATCCGGACCTAGGAGGGAAGAATGACAGCTAGCTGACCAAATATAACTTCGGAAAGCATAACTTGTACAGTTTACATGATGCGCATCATGCCGGCCGTTAGAAAGCTCCTGCCCCGTACTTCCAAGCTTAGGGGATCTTTTCAATTCGGAGGAGGAAAAGGTATCGACAGCGCTGGATGATCATGCGCGCTGGATTAAAGAGATCGCATCATAAATGCATGCGCATCATCTTGTTACATCAGACTGCATGCCAACTTACACTGTTTGATAGTAAACGGCGTGCACAACTTGCTTTCTCTTACTTGGGGGGCATTCACTTCCTAGTCGACTCATACTGACAGATACGAGCTGTTGTGGCACTCACTTTCTGATCTTGAGCTGGCTTGGCCAACGCATTGCTTTGTACATCGATTTGTTTTCGTTATTTAGTTAAGTGGGTGCATCAGGAAATGGTTCGTTTGGCGTTTCTAAAAATGCGGGATTCAGGCCCTCAGTCCGCATCTTTACCGCTACAGCCTGCACGTGGAAGAAAATCCCAAAGCGGTTGGATCAAGACAGAGGACGCACAAAAGCGGCCCCGCTTATGACTGCATTATTCCTTGTTTACAATCAGAAGTGAGGTCGACCTCGTTTTCATTCTGGCCCAATGGTAAAAGCACTAGAAGCTCACCTGACTTGGCACTCCCACTGCAAGCATCTTGAAAAACCGTGCATAGTCTGGATGCTCACTAACCTGCAACGACAGATCGAGATTTAAAGTTGACAGGGAGGCACAGTTGAAAAGTTTGTTGACCAGCATCTAGAGTTGTCAAGCAGCGAAAGAGACCTAGTAACCAAATGGCCAAGCGATCCTAATAATAAGACCTCCACCGTTCCAAGCCCAATATAGTAGAATAAAGGAGATATGAAATCTCATCCGCTCACCTTCAACTTGGTTTGCTTGTCGCTTGACTCTTCTAAGGAGGGCGCCGATGACGACACGTGGTCTATTGAAAGGAAACCTCCTGGCCTTGCCTGGCTGCACCAGGAGGTTATCCCGACTTAGTCAAAAGTAAAGAGCTGTCTTACAGTCTACGTTCATGGAGATGTTTAAGATTCCAGCCCTGAGAAAGTTTTGCAAGTCACCAGGTGAAGTTTGTAAAGTTCATAGTTCTTGCCAGTTTACCCCCATGAATCTGTGGGTCTGAAAACCACAGTGCTCTTTAGCATTCAAAGGCGTTCCCAACTGGAGAGATTGTACATCATGCACGTCGCTACAGGCCCATCAGCTTGAATTAAACTTGCTCGAGGACGTTTCCGAACCTTGCGTGATCGTTGCACTTGAGGTCTAACAGTCTGGCACGGAAGGACTTTGAAAGATACATTTGTCACAAGTCTTTTAACAGGATCTATAATTATGAACTTTGTAACACAGCACAATTGGCACCTGGTATCATTGTGTCCCTGGCTATCAATGCCCGCCCCGCTCTCTAATGTGGACCGATCGTCAACCATGCCAGCTGGTTCCCTTTCATTGGTTGGAGTGGGCGCCCTGCCACCTAGCTGCTGCTCAGCACTTCGCAACTTGGCCTCTAAAAGGGCGAGCGCAGCGTCGATGCGATGGATTCTCCTGGAGAAGAACTGGCAGTGGTCAGCTCCATGGTCCGCATTAAGAAAATTATGACCACCTCATTCGTCCTTTCTCACACTGTCCCAGTGCGCACTCAAGTTAGATCAGGCTAATTCTTGCTCTGGCTATGTCGGGCGCGTCATTGCTGACTTTGAATGCAGATCTCACTGGTCATAGGATAGAACCAGCTGTGTTGCAACAGTCCAAGGATCAACAAACAGCTTACCTGTTGATGTCAGCCAGCTTGTTCTCAGAAAGAGCAGCAAAACGGTTGAGAAATTGAGTGGTGTGCACCACGAAGGTATTCACCTGAAGCAACCACAAAAAAACCAATTGAGAATAACTTGGGGTCTATTGCATTTTGAAAGCTTAAATGAGAGCTGGAGGAGACTCGTCCATGAAAACAGAGGATCCGACCACCAACATCAACCATAATGGAGGCAAATGAAGGAAACAGTGGACTCAGCATGCGGGTTGCGGAAAGCCAGATCAAAGACTCAAAAAAACTTTGCAGCATTGACAGACAACGACGAGCTCACCAGGACCAACGTCTTCTGATCTGGCACAGGGGGCAGACGATCCTCCATGTTGCTTTGGCGGTCATGCTGTCATGCTGAGAAGTCGGCGCTAGCTCACCCTTCCTTCTTCAGCTCCGTTGCTGCATCTGTATATTACCTACAGCTGTTTGCGTCAAACTTGCCATCGGGTTCCAGACTTTTGGATCGTGGTTCCTGATCTTTGGCCGTCCGATGCCTGCCTTGTCGTCGATCGAACGGTCCAACATCAGGAACCATGATCGGGGCATCTGAAACCCGATGGCAGGTTTGACGCAAAGAGCTGTACCTATTATTAAAAGACCTACCTAATCCAGATAGGAATTGCTTGATGTGCACAGGGCACTGTACAGAACCCTAAAACTGTACTGCCTGACAGGAGCTTTGAAAAGACGGGGCAGCGACCCATAAGAGGCCAACCTCAGGTAAGGTAAAGTGCTCTGAAGTCGGACGCTTCCTTTTGTCGGACACCCCCATTTCCGAAAGTCGGACATGCTCGTTCCGAATGTCGGACATGGGGGTTTTTGGCACTTCCAGTGCATTTTGGCCGTTAGATGCCCCTTTTCAACGGTTTCAATGCCCTTACTTTGCCTAGAGGACCCCCAGCAGTTCGTTGAGGCCTCATTTTTCTCACCTTGGTGTGTTTCGGGGGGCATACTGGACCCCCTGGAACCTTGTGATAAGGCAGCGGGACAGCTATGAAAAGCTTCTTCGCGTTACAATATGCAGGTGTATGGTTGTTGATAGAAGTCGTTGCCAAAACGAACATTGCCCCATCTTATATTGCAAAAGATCGAGGATTCAGCTCTCCTAATACCCTCATATAGCCTGCATAAAGCCTTCTGAAATATTGGTGTGTGCACGTTTGGAAAAGCGAAGTACTTGTTTAGCCACAAGGCTTGTGATCACCTATGAACATGCCAGAATCACATCTAAAGCCTCCGTTATACATCTTATGCCCATCTGACGGTCGAAAAGATTGTTCTTGAGCCTGTCCGAGCTCAGAAACAGCTGTCCGAGAATCGAAAAAGGGTGTCCGAGAACCGGAAATTCGGCCGTTTTCGTGCTGTTTTGACATGCACATTTTTTGCAGAATAACTAGGTCAAAACTTCATC